CTCTGATGCATGCTAACAACCATTTAGTCACGTTATACAAGCTGCTCGGGCTTTGATTGAGCTTGACGAACTTCAAGCCAACGCTGTAGCTGCGAGAATCGAGCTGGATCTGCGAATCGGAGCTGCATTCACGCGCCTACAAACACTACAACTGCAAAACCTCTCACCAATCCTAGCAGAGCAGCCCATTAGTTATGGTGAGTGACTTGAACCATTTATTCTCAATTTTTCCTGACGGCTTCCAGGATCCTGTCAATTCCCCACCCTAGGCTTCGTCGTCGACCGCTACCTACGGGTACAGAACTTCAAGCCCGAGATATTCTGGGGCATAAAAGTCATACACACCCGAGATAACATCAAAGTCAACTTTCTTTGGAGACGGGTGCATCTCTTCGATAGAGCTGCCGTGATAATCATGCTCGAACGATGTTTGACTGCTAAGAAGGTCAAGGTCGTCAAGGTGAACCAGAAGCCTACCAGTAAGTGGAGGCCTTTGCCGTTGACAACGGTTGATTTGCAAATGATGGGGAGTCGCTATCTTCGGATGGACAGCCAAAAAATCATGAAGGTATTTAACACTGTTCGAGTGGTAATCGACATTTGTGGATGCTGATATCTTCAAGATCGCAGAAGGTCTCTATACAAAGGGTTTCATCAGCTATCCGCGTACAGAAACAGACCAGTTCGACAAGGCTATTGATCTAAAGAAGCTCATTGAGAAGCAATTCCCCGATAACAACTGGGGTCAATACGCACGAGAGCACGCCTCCCACTCACATAGTCAAAATAAGCGCTAACACTCTCCAGTCTCATCAACGGTAAATTCAAGACCCCCCGCTCAGGCCGCCACAACGACCGCGCCCACCCCCCAATCCACCCGGTCTGCTGGGTCGCACCATCGGCGCTCCCCACTGCAGACGACCGGAAAGTTTACGAGTTTGTCGTTCGGCGGTTCCTAGCATGCTGCTCCGAAGATGCCAAGGGCCAAAGCACAGAGATCGAGATCCAATACGGCGACGAATTCTTCCACGCTAACGGCCTGATCGTCTTAGAGAGGAACTATTTGGACGTATATGTGTACGATAAATGGGAGAGCAGCCAGCAGCTCCCGAAATTCGAACCAGGGGAGATGTTTGAGCCCACGGAAGCTAAGATTTTTGATGGAAAGACATCGCCTCCGAATTATCTGACTGAACCTGAGCTTATTGGTCTTATGGATGCGAACGGTATCGGTACCGATGCTACCATGGCTGAGCACATTGCTAAGATCAAGGACCGGCAATACGTCGCAACACGGAATCGAGGATCGGGTCGGACTTCGGTGCAGGAACTCATTCCGACGCAGTTGGGCGTCGCGTTGGTTGAGGGATATGATAATGTCGTGGCTGGATTGCCAGATAGTCCATCGCTGAGTAAACCATTTCTGCGCAAAGAGATGGAACTGCGAATGCGAGAGATATGTGCGGGGACCAAGACACGACAGCAGGTTGTCTTTGAGAGCCTCAATATGTATCGAGAGGTTTTTATCCATACACAGAGACGGATTAATATGCTAAAGGATGCTTGTCGGAAGTATCTAATAGAGAGCGCGGCGTCGTGATCTCGTTACCATATATAGAGGAGTTGAGACTTACAGCGATACCCCAGGTTGGACTAATGGTACTGTCAATACTAAAGAAAACCATTGCTCTATTGAGACTTGACAAATATAACAGAATAATTAGCAAGAAATGACAAACAAAACCATACACAGAGTCCAACTGCCATGCTCATCGCTCCATGAAATTCACACACACATGCGCACACACACATAGAAAATGAACAATAGAATCAGCAGGTTCACCTTGATGGATTCAAGCATTGTGTCTTCGGATTAGGGGTCGGAGGCGCTGAAGTCCATCTTGAGGAGCTTAAGCCCTGGTTCTTCTTTGGATTAGGGGTCGGTGGCACTGAGACCCACGGGAAAGCTTGAAGCCTGCCCTCCTTGGGGCTCGATGATGATGATGATGATGATGATGATGATGATGATGATGATGATGATGATGATGCCAGAGTCTCAGGTACTGGGGTCGAATTTGGTGAAGCCCACCAGGAAGTTTGAAGGGCCCCCTCGGGGCTCGAGGTCGGCGGGGTTGCTGATTTTAGATCCCATTGGGACGTCTCAAGAGTGGGGTCATAACCAGGAGGCAGCGATGTAGTTGCAGGGCCCCTGCTAACAGGCTCTAACGCCCACCACGATGACGCCAGACCGGAATTCTTAGGCGCTGGCTTGGGTCCCTCAGTGTTATTCCCCTCCTTCATCTCTATTTTCTTCTCGTTCCGGCCACCGGGGAAATCCGTCTCCTTCGGTGCCTCCTTGGCGCCCTCGCCTTCTGGGATCTCAACGCCCATAGAAGCAAGCACCTCCTCGATGTCATCCCCAGCATCCAGCGGGAACTGAATGCCGAGTTTCTTCATACATTCGAGGAGGTGGCTGTGTATACCCCGATTACTCCTTTCAAGACGGTCCAGTCTCGCGGCGTGGTCTACTACAGGGCTGACTTGCTCCGTCAACCACTGCGTCTCGGACTTTAACCTCTCGACATGGTTTTTGAACGTCTTGGCAAGCTCTTCCAACGAAATGTTCTTCACATCCGTTGCATAGCTGAAAAGCCTGCCTTCGTGAACAATGCGCTTCGCGATCCGTTTGAGTTCGGCATCGTGGTGAGCAACTTTCTGTAAGTTGTTCTCGGCTATGACCAGCCGACTTGTGAGATGCTGATTGGCCTCTTCAAGTTTGCGGATAGTTGCAACAAGACCATCAACATTGTTAGTGCTTCCCTCCTTGGTCGGGTCCAAGGGGGAGCTCGTCGTAGCAACCAACTGCTCAAGAGCAGTGATGCGTTCTTCCATACTGTGGAAGTTGGCTTCCAAAGCCTTGTTGTCCATCTCATATGCTCCGTTAGAACTTGAGAGGATTATTTGGCTAACATTAGCCTCCAGAGCTTCCTGATTTTCCCTAAATCTGTTGAGCTCTCTATAAGTAGCTTCCACGTCAAAAGGAACTAAACTAGTAGCCAGTTGGATGGACAGCACACGTTCCATAAGATCTTGAAGCAGCTGAGAGATGCAGTTACTAAATGCTATAACCGGCTGTAGATTACCCTGTAACTTGTCAAAATCTGCAGTTAATCCTTGAATTAACCATTCAATATCAGAGTAGTGAGGATGTGATAAAAGGAAAGAGGAAGAGACTTGGGAGGCGGTCTCATCGACGCTTTTTATATCCGGGTCGCAGGCAACAGTACCATACTCGTCGTGCTCTGCCCGTTGTACCAGAGTACTGGCAATATTTCTCTGAGTCTCAATTATATCTTCGATGCTGGAAATTAGATCGTAGAGGTGCGTAGTCGAAATTTTGTTGTTGTAATCGTCAGGGAGTCGAGAGCAGGCCACTGATGTGTTGACTTGTTCGATTTGACTCGACAGCTCGTTGTAGACGTTTTCAATAATGCCTTGGATTGCCTCGTATCCTGGTTGAATGCGTTCTTCTATGTTACTTAGAAAGTCCGTGATTTCTCTTATGTCCACCTTGAGAGATGCAATATCATCGAATGTGTTTGGCGTGATGTTTAACATGAACCCGTTCAAAATGCTGACAAGCTCATCTCGGAACACTGGGTTTGGTGAGGACCAGTGATTCCTAAATAGTACCTGGATGATGGTTTCAAGAGAATCACTGCGGTTATTATTCGGAATCGTATCCACAGCCGTTTTGTTGTTCTCCTTCCAGATGAAAAATAGAAGAGAGAACCCAAGGAACGCCAACGCAAGTCCTTCCCAAACAGCTCTTACCATGCCATTATGTGAGTACAACTGCGGGTGAAAACATTTCCTCAGATACATACCAATAACGTGTGGATCAAAATGCCTATCATTGCCGGCAGTGTCAGTAGGCGCCCGGTGTGGGGATATATGGGTAAAGTTTCGACTAGCCGTGTATTTTCCCGTAGTGCACTCGATAGTATCATCAATTTCTGGTGGCAAAGAATGGTCATCGAGCCAAGCGTCATTGCGTTCCTGTAAAATTTCGGGGAAGATAAGAGGATGCATTTCCTGGAGGGTGTAGACGACGCCGGTGAGCTGGAAGGAACTGACGGCCCGTTCGAGGAACGAGCGTGTTGGACTGATGCTGGTGAAGGGGACATGATGATACATGCCCCAGAGGTTGGAGGTGAGGAATACGATGGTTAGGATGGTTAGATCCATCTTGCGAGATTTTTGATGTTGGTGTGCTTCAGTTGATGGCTTGTCATCTTCGAGAGTCTGAGACACTATATATATACTTGGAATTGGAACTCGGGAATATACTCGAGTACACCTGACTGAAGAGCAAAGAGACTGACAAAAGACATGCTACCGAGGGTCTTTGATGCAGTACTTGATACAAAAAGGGATGAGAACCATAAAAAGACAATTCATTGTTTGGGCACGATAGAAATATATGGTAGTCTCCGCTTCAGCATATTGCGAAAAAGCCCGGGTATTGAAAGAAAGACAAAAAAAGATCGAGAACAAAGAGCAAACATGGAACCAGGAGCTGGTGTATCACATGAAAGTTTACTGTGGTCTGGCTAGAAAGACTCCAAAGAGGTGATTTTTTCTGATTGATATACACAGAATCAAAGAATGTTATGGCATATTCTGAAGTTTTTAACCAAATTACTGGGATAGACCTGAGGAACTAGGGCTTCCTTTGAGCAAACCGGCGGAAGAATCCGGTACCATTATATCCGTATTAGAGTGATATTGTACCCCATAACTCTCAATTGCTTCTGGGAGCTCTTTCTAGGCAGTAAGCATTGCGTATCCTATACAGCTGAATCGGAATGCTCTCAGGAATCCAGGGGCATACCACTATCAATAAGCAATGGAATGCCTAGACCACACTCAGTATATAACAGTTAAGAAGCGTATTAACAGAGGCTTACAATGGGAATTCAATTGCATCCGTGACCACTATGCTCCTCGGCAGCCTTACCATCTTCTCCCTCCTCACCTGGACCCTCGCCGCTTCTGTGTCAACACTCTACCAATTCAGCGACAAAGGCACATTCATCGATAACCTCGTCATCCGACAAAATGGCCATATACTTCTTACGCGAATTGACGTTCCCCAAGTCTGGTCCGTCGACCCAGATACCCATGTCGGGACTCTGGTGCACGATTTTAGTTATGACAACTCCACTATAACCAGCTGCTTCGGCATTGCTGAGGTACACCCAGGATCGGATATTTTCGCGGTGATAACTGGTAGCTTCGACTCGAGTAGTTTCTCCTCTATACCAGGCTCGTTTGAGGTATGGAAGTTGGATGTCAGCGGGGACGAAACGGAAGCGTTGCCATTGGTTTCCATTCCTGAGGCGAAGGCGTTGAGTGCTGTTATCAAGTTTGGGGATCTACTCTTGATTGCCGATAGTCCGGACGGTGCGATATGGCGTGTCAACCTCCGCACAAACGAATATGCCAAAGCCATCGTGCATGAGTCGATGTTGCCCGCACCGAATGCACCGCCAATGGGGATTAACGGTATCCGTGTGCGAAACGGCTTTTTGTACTATGCTAGTACTACGAGACAAGAGTTCCGGCGAGTGGCTATCAGTTCGAATGGAGAAGCTACAGGGCCGTTTGAGATAATCGCCAGCGGCATCGCTCTGGATAATTTTGATTTGGATGTGGATGGTACGGCGTACATGGCGACGAACGCAGAGAATTCGATTACCAAGATCTCACTAGATGGGAAGGTTGAGACTGTTGCTGGAGGAAAGTCATCGAGGGAGTTACCAGGGCCGACGTCTTGTGTATTGAAGGGGAAGATGCTGTATGTTGGGACTAATGGAGGCTTGACTGAGCCGGTGGATGGTGTGTTTACGGAGCAAGGGAAGGTTGCAATCATTAAGCTTCCTTAATAAGTACCATTCAACTGTAGACAAATAACAATGAAAAACTACTGTGTCGCCTTGAAAACATCATCAAAGCGATCCTCATTGAACCGCACCGTCGGCTTCAATCCCGCAAACTTCCACACTCCATCCACCTTCCGATAGTAGTGCTCATTTGTCGCATGCGAATGACCCTTAAGCTTAACCTCACTCAGCCCCGGATCAGTATAAACTAGGTGCGCCGCTCGTAACTGATGGTGGCCAATGACAAAGTCATCCGAGATCTTCTCCCAAACGGTGGCACCCAGGAGATGCTGCGTCCTGATTGTCGGGTCTCCAAGGAAGTCGGGGCTAGAGACCATCTGGAGGTACTCCTCAGCGGGCATGGGGTCCCATTTTCTGAGACCGATCTCAGTGTAGTCGACGGTGAGATTCGGAGCGACGATGCCGCGGAGACGGTCCCAGTCCTGAAAGTCAGCGACAAGTTTCCCATATGTGTAAGGAGGCCCTTACTTTGGAATCGTAGCTGTCAGCCCAGTCGAAGGCAACCTTTTGCAGGGCAAGGAAATCTAAACAATTAGCGGTGTGGCTTATACTACAATGGTGTAAACTCGCCGTGAAATTCAACTTGGGCCTTCGCCATGATCGGATGGAGTAGAAAAGCAAAGAAAAAGTAGAAAATTAGCATATTGACAGCAGAGTAAACATGGCCGTCAGCGATACTTAAATATCAGCATTCCAAGCGTATCTGCATGCGGCCAGATCTATTATTACCGCTTTCGGAATCCGAGAGCAGACACTGAGACAATGCATTCCTGATTTGTACTTCGCTTCCGGTACAGTATCTCTATATAAGGCTCGTAAGCCCCTGCAGGAAAGCAAGATACTGACACATCTACGTTCTTACACCTAGTTACCTACTTGCACTTCACAATGGTTGCCCTCACTCCCCAGATCTTCACCGGAAAAGTCGCGCTTGTCACCGGTGGTGGCCGCGGAATTGGCGCTGGAATAGCAGGCGAGCTTGCCCGTCGAGGAGCCCAAGTCGCCATCAACTACGCCCACAGCCGCGACTCCGCCCAGAAAGTCGTTGATGCCATCAGCGCAACAGGTGCGCAAGCAGCCGCCTTCCAAGCGGACCTGACCAAGCTCGAAGAGATCGAAGGCCTCTTCAAGCAAGTCACCGCCCATTTCGGCCGTCTGGATATCGTCGTCTCGAACTCTGGCCGCGAATCCTTCATGCCGCTGCCTGAGACAACTCTCGAAGCCTTCAATGATGTCTTCGACCTCAACACTCGTGCGCAGTTCTTTGTCGCCAAGAACGCCTACGATTACATTTCGCCCGGTGGCCGTGTAATTCTTATGTCGTCCATCGCCGCCGGTGTGGGTGTCCCCGGACACGCACTATATGCAGGAAGCAAGGCGGCGGTCGAAGGATTTACGCGCTGTTTTGCGGCGGATTTTGGGAAGAAGAAGTGCACGGTCAACACGATTGCTCCTGCGGGGGTTAAGAGTGACATGTGGCTGCAGAATTCGTGGCGTTATGCCCCTGGCTGCGACAAGGGGTCGTCTTTGGATGACATCGAAACTGCCCTTGCTAATGGAAGCCCCCTGGGCCGGTGTGGAGTGCCGGAGGATATTGGCCGCGTGGTTTGCCTGTTGGCCAGCCGTGATGGTGAATGGATCAATGGTGAGTTTCTTGCATTTGTTCATTTATCGCGTCGTTCTAATGCAAGTGATATAGGGCAAATTATTCCGGTTAATGGTGGAGCGAACATCTAAGACACGTATTTACATTTACATGTTGTTCTAGTCTGGAATGATATTAATAGATAGAGTTGACATATTTGGCATACAATTCAGTTAACATGAACAAAGTGCAGAGTGTAATCGAGCATCTATCCACGTATTTTGTAGAAAAGATTCCAAATACTAGAACAGTGTCTCGGAATTTGTCTTTGCAGATGCAGTTCGCATGCTAATTTTAACTGCCGTTCTCGATGCGGTCTGCACCCAAGAATTCCATTCTATTCCGTCGTGTCCCGTGGAACAACGCTCAATAGGATTGTTGCAACTGGAGAGAGGACGGTTCTCGATCTCAAATCGATAAATAAGATCGACTCTAACCAAAAACGGCTAACACGAACGCGGGTTCGAATACCCGTGCTCGAACATTACTGAAGGCAGGAATGTTATATATCTTCCGAATTGGGAAGTATTGCATTCTCGGCCTCCTCGCATTCCTGCAACCAGCACTCTGCATGTAGATTAGCTGATAATATGAGAGTACTTAAGACACTGTATTGTGTGCTTTACTATTGCTGGGAACAATAACCAGTAGCTCAACAGTCACAATGGGTTGGATCCTCGGAGAAAAGTTCAACACTGTTTACCCACACAAGGGTTCTATCAAGGTCTTGTGGGAGACTCGTTGGAAGTTTGCCGTGCGTCTCCAAGCCAATACATACTAGCAGGTACTAACTGTAGCAGTGCGAGAAATCCATCTACCCCTTCCATGATGGCAATATTGAGGACTTTGAGCCTATCTTCCAACAGTTGATTGAGGTGAGCAAGAAACACCATATATTCAATCTAACACTGCTAACGAACCCAGAAAAACATCAATGACGCATCTACAGATGAATACACCCATACCTTCCTCCCTGTAGCCTCCAACCTCGAAAAGAAAGCCGAGGAAGCTATCCGCAACAACCAAACAGACAAAGCATCCGACTATCTCCGTCGTGCCGCCGTTGTCTACCGCATCTCTCGCTTCCCTTACATCGACTACACAAACAAGAATGACAAAGACGATATCAAATGGTATGCCTTCAACCGCCAGAAGGAGGCCTACCTGAGAGCTGCCTCTTTCTGGAAGCCTACCATCAACGAAGTCATCATCCCCCACACCCACCGCGCCTCCATCGATGGCGAGCATATTCCCATCTACACGCGCTTCCCAGAAGAGGCTTGCGCGGGCAACCCCGTTCCTGTTGTGCTGTTGTTGACAGGTCTTGATGGATATAGGCCTGACAACAGCCAGCGTACACATGAGATCATCTCGCGCGGCTGGGCGGCGGTTGTCTGTGAGATCCCAGGGACAGCAGATTGTCCCGCTGATGCGGCGGATCCGGACTCACCAGATCGGTTGTTGAGCAGTGTGCTTGACTACATGGCGGGAAGACCGGAGTTGGATACCAACAAGGTTGTTGTTTGGGGGTTAAGTGCGGGTGGTTTCTATGCTATTCGCGCGGCGCATACGCACCGTGCAAGATTGGCTGGTGCGATTGCCCACGGCCCCGGAAGTCATTACTTCTTGGATCCGGAGTGGTTGAGCAAAGTCAACGATCATGAGTATCCGTTCTTGTACGCCCCTCTTTCCTTTTTGGAAAAGTACTGCAGCTAATGAAATAGGTTGACTCCCGCCTGGGCTAAGAAATATGGCTACGACAACGACGCCGATTTCGCCAAATACGCACAGAAAAAATTTTCCCTCGTGGAGACTGGTATCGTCGACCAGCCCAGCTGCAGACTTCTGCTTTTGAACGGTGTCAACGACGGTGTTACTCCTATCGAGGACTGTATGGTTCTCTTTAACCATGGCAGCTCGCCCAAAGAGGGACGGTTTTTCGAGGGTCTGCCACACATGGGATACCCAAATAGCTTGCCGGTGTCGTATCAATGGTTAGAGGAAGTTCTTGGGAAGAAAGATGTGAAGAATTAGGCATTGTGTGAATAGTATTAGTATATAGTGAAGTCATCACTAACATTACACGGAGTATACTACCAGTTCTGTGATCTAACTATTTTCAAATTTTTGCATTCGGTAATTACCATGTAGAATCAAATGTGATGAAAGCCCCATACAATGCCGAAAACTGGCTTATCCTTTATATCTGGAAAGATGTGTACACACCTAGAAGGCTCTTCATAATACTTCACAAATACAGCATGATTTTTCCATAGAACGCAGTGCCATAGCTTACTTGTTTCTAACCTTAACAAGACCAAATGAATTGCCCAAATCCCTTTCGACCCAACAACGGGCCTGTATATACACTTCACATTCCGACACATCAACGAAAACAATACTAAGATAGCCCTTCCAATGCCATACACACCCCAAAACACCAATCAACAACCCAATCCCCATCGCTCTCTTTTTACTTACTCTTCCGCTTTCCGAAAGAAGTCCAAGGACAAAAAGTCATCATCTTGAATAGCCGGAGCAATAAGAGTGTTTTCCGGTTTCGACAGAGCGTCAAGGCCTCCCTCAGTATGCCAGTAGCCCTTATGGCCCTGAAATCCCGGCTTCCAATAAGGTACAGCCCCAGCCCACTCATTTGTGGGTCTCGGTATGGAGTCTGTTGTATGCGGAGTGGGAGAGTCAGGGATAGTAGGCTCTGGTGTAGAGGGTGCAGAAGGCGCAGAGGACTCGGAAGTAGGTTGGGGATCTGGGCCGGGTGTTATATAGTTGGTTGTCGCAGGAGTATTTGGTACAGATGCGACGAGAGGACTGGACTCTGGAGTAGATTTAGAAGTCGGATCAGGTTTGATGTAGTCAGGGCCTGTAACTGGGGTCGCCGGTTGAGGGTTTGCACCTGGAATACTTGCAACCTGGGGACTCGAGGCTGGCGGGCTGACACTTTGAAGGTTCGACGGAAGCTCTGCCAAATCAGAGCTCTGACTCGGGTCCCAGGAAGCCCTGTTTATGTTAGCTTTTATCCATTATACCATCCGCAGAAGAATACTTACCCGTCATCACCCGGGGTAAGCTGGGACATGGCTACATTATCCCCAATGTTTCCATCCGCGTTACCGGATGTGGGTGCTCCATAGCTAGAGCAAATTTGCTTGTGATCCTTGGGGATCGTCATGTTAATATGCTCAGGTGCTTCAATCAAAGTTGCGACTAAACCCGACTCAACGTGCCATTCAATATGGCAGTGCAGCAACCAGATCCGTATAAAAGGTCAGCATCATAATTCCATCCTGCTAGGCATTGGAAAACTTATCTGGGTTATCAGCACGGAACCGAATCACACTGTGACCGTTGTTCTGCACCATGATAGTATCACGCTGAACAGGCGTCGACGAGATATTCGCAAAGTACCCGTTAAACATTCCGCCGTCTACAGCGGACCGCTGCAAGACCTGGAACTGGTGCCCATGCAGATGCCACGGGTGCAGGTTACCGTGATGGTTGTTGATCACGATCTCGACGACCTCGCCATAGTTTACGACCATCGGGTTGACCTGTCCGTATATTGCCTCATCTGTGGGGTCGTCTGCCGTCAACGCTGTGTATAGTGTGGGCACTTCCGGCGCCCTATATGTCTGGCCATTAACAGTGAACCGCGAGACGCCATTAATATTCCTAGACCCCGTGTGTAGGATAATTTGCTTGTCCACAGGCTCCAGGAGTGGCTCCTTGCCAAGAGGAACAAACTCCACATCGTCAACAAAGTCTTGATTTGGATCGAGATTGTGAACGGATGGTGCCGGCGGTAGCTCTTTGGCATCATCATAGACGAGCCACGCAGTAGCATTAGGGTTAAATCCTGCCGGTATATCCCGATTTTCGTAGAAAAACATCATGTTGATGTCCGTCGTGTCCCAGATGGCATAGTTGCGGCTGATATCAGGCTTGGTACGGATGAGAACACTCATACGTTGCCCGGTTGTGACACGCAACTTCTTGTCATGAACTGGGTACGGTACAGTATAGATACCATCTACTTCGACAACAGTCATGTCATGACCCTCAAAAATCCACGTATGACCGGGCCAGTTGCCCAGACAGACAATGTGCACGAGATACGTCTTGTTGGGCTCGACCTTAATCTTGGCATCAGATGCGTCGTTTATCAGCGTTGAGTCAGGGAGTGGCTCAAAGCCGCCATTTGCATTTCCATTTTCCACGGACTGATAAATGTTCAGGAGAGTTGGCATTTGCTCGTTGTACCAGTCGGTGAAGGTAAGGGTGAATTCGTCGTCGAATTCAATCGGAGTCAAGGGATCGTGAACAATCAATGGACCACGTAGGCCGTCGGGGTATTGACCCATGTTATGCGAGTGATACCAATATGTCCCTGTTTGGTTCGCCTACCTCGTGTTAGCCGACGTGCTCTCTCATCCGAAAGGGGCAAGCGCACCATAAAATCATAAGTCATCCTACTGCCAGGAGCAAGCGGACACTGAGTGACATCTGACGACCCATCCATCGTGCCCGTCATATATTGACGGAATCCATGCCAATGGATACCTGTCGTCTGATTTCCCAGTCCATTGTACACATCCACGATTAACCGATCCCCCAAGTCGACATCGACCTGTGGGCATGGCCATTCTCCGTTGATTCCAATCACGGGACGTGAGTAACCATTAGGAGCTGCGTTGACCCAGGTGATATTCCAGGATAAATGGACGTCTTTGGCGAGTGCAGACTGTGCCAGCCAGGAGAGACCGAAGAGCACGGCTGCTTTAGCCATGGCGAATCGCCGATGCCTCAAAACGGAATAGGGATTAAAAGATTGGATTAGTTAAACAGAATAACGCAACAATATCGCCAATTATATTGGGAAACATTCGAGGAAAGTGGACAGAACGGGATATATACAAAGTTCCAAAATCACTGTGAACAAAGGACAGCTGGGCTACTATTCCGGCATCTGAAAAAAGGGCGCTTGGTACCTGTATTCGGAAACCAAATTGGGTAATTTAGCTTGCCGAAAAATGTGGCATTTTCTCCTTGCATCAATCTAACATGTTTACATTGCGGTAAGACCTGAACACGGATAACTGTTACTAGCAAGGGCTGCTATCATTCTGCACATTTACCGCTCTATTGAACCTACACCCTTGATCTAAACACCTCGGAATTGGAAAAAAAAAAAAAAAATCGAGTCTATAGATAGCTCTCCGGCACGTCCGGCCATGCATCGATACCGTCTAGCAATACCATTCCCATGCCGCCGTGTAGATGAGTCAATGTGTGGCAATGGAGGAAAAAAGGCCCCGGGTTGACCACTTGGTATCGGATTGCCAACCACGACTCTCCAGCGGGCGACGTTACAAATGTGTCCCGGTACAGTGGATTGTAAAGGGAGAATAATTCGGGGTGTTGCCGGGCTGCTTCATTGACATCCGGCCACTGGAACTTTCCTGTTCCCCGGCCAATGATAAAAGCTTTGTTGGAATGCTTGTGCATCGGATGCGGAGGCTGCACGACTGTCGGCTCGCTTATTTCCAATTGGTAAACCAGGTCAACCCAAGTGCCGTTTGTTGTCGTGATTTTGAGCGCATCTGCGAGTTGTGGGCTGTCTGGATTGTGAATAATCGGGTACATCGCATCTAGGTCTGCAGGAAACAATTCTGATCCATCCAAGGTCCATTTCCACGAGGAGCCAATTCGGCCCAGCGTCAGGAGATGGAAGTCATCGGCCCTTCGTGCTGGACGAATAGGTGGAAATGGTGGCAAGTTGCTGGTATCCAGCGGCTCCACGGAGTCCGAAACGGGGGCTCCACCATAGTTGATGTATGCCTCCGACTCACGCTTATTGTTCTCGCCTCCCTGATAGGTAACTGTGCCATAGCCCGAGATTACCTGCTGAGCTCCAGTGCTCGCGACACGCATTGTATATGAAGCAGGCTCTTTATCAAGCTTGACCATGGCCGAATAGCGTTCCCCGTTGTATATCTCAATGGAGTGGGCCAATTGGGGTTCGATATACCGCCCGTCCACTTCATAGATGTATAAGGGGTGCTCATCAATGGAGGCTACAAGAGCCTTGATACCGGCCGCACTAATGAAGTTAAAGCTTGCCCATTTTTGCGATGCATCTACTGAGAACCCGGCATGAGGGCCTTCGCTCGGTTCGCAGCCGGAGTTCAGACCGGGAGGGAGATTATCGGGGTGGTGCTCCCAGTCTCCTTGTAGCGTATTCACAAATGGCACACAGCTAGTAACGTTAGAAACAGATCCCGCCTTGAGACAAAGAAACCATATCTTACCCCTTGTCAGTCAAAGTAGCGTTGATAACTTTTTGGGCTGGCGCTGGTTGGTATGAAGTCAATTCCTCGGGATCCTTGCAATAGACAGATCCCATGCCGTTAACAAGAATGCTATCCGAGCAGCTAGGTTCTGTTAGAATCTGATAATTGGAAATTAATGACTGGTACTTACAAGATATCGTAACCGGTGTCTTCCATTGCTTGCATATAGTCGACTCCTGTCAGGTGATCCCAGTCCGAAAGAATCACTGAAATGGGGTTTTTCTCTGCTTCTTTCATTGCCTCGAGATCATTATGGTCGCTGGATATTTTTGAGAATGGATTTTCCCGATCTGGTGATGGTCTACAAAAGTATTAGCTCAGTTCAAAATCTTGTCCTTTAGAATTTACACGCACCTAATATGGATTGCTCCATAGAGACCATCCATAAGTAGTGATGTATCATGAGAATGATACCTGCGTGGGTTAGCATTATTTTATATGAATAGGTATGTACAACGTCTAACCAGTATGTTCCATAGTCATTTGCGCGCCACTTGTAGACGTAATTGCCCTCGGGTTGAATGGGGAATTGGGTCAAACCCGGCACCCCATCAGAATATGGGGTGCCTCTTTGTCTATATCTTGTTAGTTATGAGGGGAGAGAATGGCTATAGGCCACATACTCAATCCCGTGAAAATGAATGGTCGTATTGAATGGTGTGTGATTGTTCACTTCAACCTGTTTACAGTTAGCAATGGTGGCCATCATCACAATTTATTCAGTCCATACAGTCACATCATCCCCCTCGTCAGCATATAGCGGTGGCCCTGGAAACCGGTCATTGACAAAGATCAGTTCCCGTTGCACACCGTTTGGGGACCCAGGCACCCAGGTCAAGTCCAAAGTGTAATGGACCTGGGAAGCCCGGGCAAATGCTGCCATAAAGAGGCAGACACCAGCGAAGGCCATCGCTGCGGTAAGTCGGCTTGAATATGTGGTAAAACTATGGGCATAAATGCGCGTTTCAAAATTGGCAAATACCAGCAGGAATTTAGAATGCCTAGAGTTTATAAATACTCTTGCAGCGACTCTCCATATCGCCTTTCATGTCTAAGCGTCCCACGCTGAATCCGGAGATTCAGCCGAAAGCAGTCGATAATCAGTCTCGGAGCCCTGATAAATGGCTCAAATCGGCAAGGGTGTGTCTTGAATTGGAAAGGGAGATCCTGATCCCGGTCCGTGGCTGGTATGCAGGTCTCCTCATCCCTAGCTGCAAGCCACTTCAGGCCAGGCCATATCCCTTTTCCGGATATCTTTTGTTGAAACTTCAACCAAAGAAATTTCTGTGTTATCCTTCTATGATGTCAATCGTGTCAGGGTGTGATATTGTGACTCCATTATATTCTGCAGCTATCATATGGGTTCCGTACCTGTCTGAAAGCATAAATATCTGCATAGGTCTGCAGAAGCCCCTCGCTGCTTGTAGATGTATAATATCCATAAATCCATCATTGATCGGGATTTGGTCGAATTCATTATTAATCGAGTTGCATCCTATGTGTCTGTAATGTATATTGTTTCCTGTCCTGGAAGCAGGTATTGATTTGCCATCGGTGCTGCAGATAAGGCACTTGTGAAAGAGAATAAGAGAAACGAAAAGTGATGGAACAACACAAAGGAAAAAAGGAATGATTGCAACAAAGAGAAAAGAAGCGGATCGTTACTGCAAAATGATCATGAGCAGTCAAGAAACCTCCGTAGTATTCCAGACATTTGATATGCCATTCTATACTACTACGTACTCTACGTCGCGTATTATAACTGTCCAGGAAATATCCATTGGGCACCATTTTCATTATTAGAGGTCACATTCATCTGGCTATAAAAGCTCTTTGATGGCAAGTATGCGCGCGTATCTAACCGGTTTTGCTTGAGCAAAAGACAAAGCGGGCTGTCTCATCGGCTTGGTCTATGTAGACAATGTTCTTTGGAGATAGATATAGCCTGATATATATCTTTTATTATTAGTAGGACACTCATAAACCTCATCAATTACACTTCCTGCAAAACCACTCTTTCCTTACTCTGCTATACGTTCGTCCATACAAGCAAACATCGGTATCGCAATGAACACCTTCGGTCTCACCATGTTCTCAATCCTCATAGCCATATTCGGCTACTTTCAATGTATTCCTCTGACAGGCATCAATCGACTGCAGGACTGTCTGAGAAAGGAATACGCCTTGGGCCATTTCGGAATGATGGTTGACAGATTTTCCCCAGTCGCTTATGACAACGATTCTTTTGCGAGCTCCGAAATACAGTCTGATGCACCGTCCGCTGTGGTTTTGTTGACATCATCTAAACTGGAACCAGTTGGTTATGCTGTGGACACCGTTATGGCCAACTTCAGTGCTTCCGTGGATGATAAAATAGGATATACAACCGATATAGTGTCGTTGGGTGCTGACCAGAATGAGTCTTATTCTGGGTTCTTCCACGACACTTACTGCCCTTATCTGATCGCAATCTGCTCTCGGTATGCGGGATTTCCATCGCAGATTTGGCCAGTTATAAAAAGCTTTTTCGGGCTTGCGGTACCTCTAGGGCCACTTGTCATACTCGTGGGGTCGCTGACCGTCGCCTTCACGTATTGGCGGAAGTTACGGACAGCTGGCGCCGAGGTCATGAGATTGACCAGTAAGGTCCAATCCAGAAGAGCTTCTCTCCAACGAAAGATCGACCTAGCAGCCTCGGTAGTCGATCAGACACTCGACGAGATTGCAAGACATATTCCAGCAGAACAGGAGCGCATCCACCAGTATCTGGCGTCCTTTCGTCCAGACGATGTTATCAACCAGGAGATTAATGCATTCCGCGAGAAGCTTGAGTTTTTTATCCAGAGCGAATTCGACAAACAGATTCACTTGGTGAGGGATTATCTGGAGGAGCTCGAGCAAGTACGCCAAACTCTCCCAGGTCCTGTAGAAATTCGAGCCCAATGTGAGAAATTCCAAGAGACGTTCGAGCAAGCCAAGGAAGTGCATAGCAACCTGAAAGATGCCTTGAAGCATATCGATGAGCTTTTGCGTTCGAAACAGACGCCGTCACTTTCTCAGGTTGACGACGAGTTTCATGCTGTGCGTTCTATCTCCAGCAACGAAGGAACAGGCCCGAGAAATGTAAATGAGCGCATCCGTGGCAATACAGATACGCGATCTCGGTCATTGTCACGGTGGGTGATGGCGTCGGGTCGTCACGAAATGACACCAGAGGAATTTAACAAGGCACTCGAGATCCGACGTGAGAGGGTGAATATGAGGTGCGCAAACCGGGTTAAAACAGATTCTGTTTCATCGAATGGTCAAAGTTGTACTGCAATGACCGACCGCTGCTCTCGGTAGACCTCTTTTGGTCTGGTTTGATCAATGCTGGATCATTGGGATGCGGACATGATATTTGTATGTCGGTTGTACTTTGATAGACTGCATGTAACAGGCTGAATTTAGAAAAGAATCTGTATTCTTGTGGACACCTTGGGCTTAGAATGATAATGACAAGAGTGTTCAGTAACGGTAGAAGTAGAAGCAAATGTGGAAATTTTCCGGAATACTTCCTTCAACATGTTTCCGGTTCGGATTGTCTGACATACGCTTGAATGAAGCAGCGTACCAAGGTGCTCAGTCTTTCCTTCTTGTTCATGTATCTGTAATCATACAGAAGTCAACAATCAAGGATTGGAAAAGAAAGAGAAGCCATCGATATGTCAAAAGTACTAAATTAAGCATTGGCTTTGCATGCTTTGTGGCGGGTATTTGACAATACGAAAGAAGGATACACCAAAGAGAAGCAAAAAAACATATATGAAGGTTGGATCAAAGACAACATTGACAAACGCCATGTACTATATTTGTGAATTCATTGTCTCGAGCACTTGCGGCTGCATAGATTTACATCGACACCACTCGCTTTGGTCGAAAATGAATACTAGTACCCTTGCATATATATGGACGCATTTTCCATATTCCTCATGCAAGTATTACCAAAGGAATTTCCCTGACAAAATAACCAGAACACGCAGTCAAGAAGCCACCATCCTCAATTTGTCCCCCAATGCGCTCGGGAAAGCTACTCGAAAACCACCCAGCAGGGTCTGCGAAAGCATCAAAAGATTGCAAGTTTACAAAGATGGGACGGAGCAGCATCAAGCCAGAGACAGTCACCACCGAGATTCAATTAATCTGTGTTGATCTCCAAGTTGAAAGGTAGGAACATGTACAGCCCACAGACCAAGAAAGACCCACAGAGACGAGAACACATGCGATGCCATTCTGGTGATTAAATCGAGAATACCTGGCCATAGAGCCACGCTTGAGTATGCAAGAATGGCCCTCTCCGCAGCATTTGAGCAAGGAGCATTAATGGTGCATCCCATCAAAGGACAGAATTTCGTCTACAATGGAAGTGCTAGATTACTATCAAGTTAAAACCAATGTTTCAGAGCTCAAAGACAGAATATTGCCCTTAAAGACGAGCTGAAAGAGCTCATGTATATTTAGATGATGGTTAGGAGACGGTTCCTCAACACCTATAAGCGAAAAAAGTTGAATAAATTCGACAGCTTTAATTGGCATGCCATCGAGACAGTAAATCAAATGTTTCACTCCGGTGATGCCCGTTTTGATGCGACGTTTGGAAACGAACTGATACAGATGTCTTCAAAGGGATGTATGGGCTCGCTCCAGTACAAGCTTTGAGAGTTGGTGAATTCATCATAACCCCAATCCTTTAGTTACAATTATAGTAGCAGTATCAAAGCATCAACCGACTATCTAAGCCATAAACCGACATGCAAGCCAAATGGCCTTCAAATATACCGACCATTATAATTCACAAATCGAAGCCCGCTTTCATAAGTTTATTTAACCTTTCGCGGATTCGAGTTTTGACGAGACGTATTTGGAAAAGATACAGCTACTCACGCTACGTACAAGAATTTGGCATGATTGCCAACAGACTGGTTTATGGGAATGGAGATGGAAGACTTAATATGCGTTTGTAACCGACCTTTGTTGTCGCTACATTTTTTTTTTACCAAAAACATTTTGAACCGACATAGATGTTATATTTTGCTCTAATCCTGTAGACTACATATTTTTTGCTTATATTGGGACTAACAAGTCGTTAGAGAATGCTCCTCTGTTACTATGTACACTTCCCACGAGAATCACGACAACTGCTTTCCAATAACCACACCATAATAGATAGTAGCAAGAAGAGTGACCATATTGAGTAAGCTCGACACTCCATGAATCTTACCAAACTTCTTGTTCAATGCCTGCATTTGCTTGGAGTGGGGAGGAGAATCGTAACTCTTCTTGCCGTCACGGGTTTCTAGGCCCAATCAGTTCAGTTTTCAACTAGCATTTTCACAAGTTCAATCATCACATACCCTGCCTTTTCCGCTCCTTCATAACATTCACCGTGAGCGGACGCAGAATAAACTGATTGGCGAGACCTGTCACCACCGCAGTAGCCATCGGCAACAGCGTGCTGAATCGGTTCTCCGGAGCCAAAAGTCCGGAAACTCCGAGTGTCTGTCCGCCTTTACTGGCGGTCAGAGCAACCACGACCGGGAGGGCTGATTGCAGAGTGAAGTAGATGGGGAAGGTTGCGGTCTGCAGCTGGGCGAACTGGGGGCGCGGTAGAGCTCTGAAAGCAACCACGCCAGAGACAAAGGACTAGTAGATGCTTCTTTAGCTTGCATATTTAATTGTCCAAGGAAGTAGTCATACCTGATAGACCTGGACACCCAGCAGAGTGCCATAGCTGGCAAGAGTTAGTGCATGTCTCAGTTGAAAGTGATTGGATATACAAACCTGAGAACGTGGTATGGTCGAGGGTCAGTCATTCTAATGGCTAGAACGAACCAAATGTATCAGTCTGCACTATGTAGAGAAGAAAAGCGTAGTCGGATGTCACTTGCTGCGGAGATGCAGGTGTTTGGGTGGGGAGCCGGATATATTATGGCCACGCACCTGCATTTGGTGTTCTATTACCACGCATGCTATCGAACTGTGTCTAACTAAATCCACGACAAGATGTGCAAAGACCACGCAGCTAATCAGATGATGTCATGTGCTTTCGTGTTCCGCCTCCAACCCAAATAGGAAATATCGCGCGTCTGCTGCCTGGTGCACGTGTTTCGCAGCACTCTTTCTCGTTTACTCTACGCTTCCCTTTTTCTCCCTTTATTTGGCCACTTCTACACTTCTACGCCCTCAAAGTGACCATGGCTGAAAAAGAAGCTACGGTGTACATCGTCGATGTCGGCCAGTCGATGGGGGAGCGCCGTCAGGGACGATCGGTGACAGATCTAAAATGGAGTATGCGCTATGTTTGGGATCGAATCACGGCTACGGTACGATTACTTAGACATAAGGGCTCATATACTCTTGTTGACATTGGATGCGCAGGTGGCTACAGGGCGAAAGACGGCCATGGTTGGAATGCTTGGACTAAGGACAAATGGTGAGGGCTATACTTGATGCAGCACTGTTGATCCGCTGAGACGAGGGACAGGGACTTTAAACGAGCTGCAGGATGATGAACACTTTGAGAACCTCTCCGTGTTACAGGAAATCAGGCAGTATGTCTTTCCTATTCTCAATTGTTGTTGATGTTGGGCTGACGGATTAGGATGCTCATGCCAGATATCAAGAGGCTGCGTGATGAGATACAACCTAGTGATACTGACAGCGGCGACGGTAAGGGGAAAAAATGGCATTTTGCTTTGGGTCAAGCTTTTGGATATTAACTCAGTCTGTCAGCTATATCGGCACTCATTCTGGCTATTCAGATGATCATCGTCCAGTGCAAGAAGCTCAAGTATAAGAGGAAGATCGTCCTGGTCACCAATGGGCAAGGGCACATGAGCACTGAGGGCCTCGACCAGATTACCAGCAAGATTAAGGAGGATAACATTGAACTTGTTGTTCTGTGAGTGTTTTGAGGAACTGCACGGTGACCAGTGCTAACCCCCTTCAGTGGTGTTGACTTCGACGATCCGGAATATGGTTTCAAAGAGGAGGACAAGGACCCAATAAAGGTCTGCTGTCTGTTTTTATTATGCCTTATGTCCACTGACACTCGTCAACTTTGCAGGCAGAAAACGAAGCTCTCCTGCGAGGTCTTGTTGAAGACTGCGATGGTGCTTACGGAACATTAGAGCAGGCCATTTCGGAAATGGAGATCCCCCGAGTGAAGCAGACCAGAAGTATGGCAACCTTTAAAGGGTATCTCCAGCTTGGAGATCCGGGGAATTATAAAAATGCCGTCAAGATCCCCGTGGAGCGATACTATCGAACATACGTTGCAAAGCCTCCAACAGCCAGCTCGTTTGTTCCTCGCTCGGATACCTCAGATAGTCAAGAGGACCCCAATTATGCTCAATCGTCTGCCACTATCGGTGCAACCCAGGGCAATCAATTCGGAGAGGGCAGCAATCTGACCAGTGTGAGATTCATGAGAACCTATCAGATCACGGATGAGAATGCGCCGGGAGGAAAGGTCGAGGTCGAACGGGACGAGCTTGCCAAAGGTTACGAATATGGACGGACTGCCGTGCATATCGATGAAACTGATCAGAATATCACGACCCTTGAAGCACCTATGGGCATGGAATTGATTGGCTTCGTACAGAGTGAAAAGGTATGTTGGCCGACATTAGTGACTTTCGTGAACTGATGATTCTCTCAGTACGACCGTTATATGCACATGTCCACCACCAATATCATCATTCCCGAACGTACCAACGATGCAGCCGCGCTAGGACTTTCTTCATTCATCCATGCTCTATTTGAATTGGAATGCTACGCTGTCGCACGGTTGGTAGTAAAGGAAAATAAGCCTCCGCTCATGGTGCTGTTGTGCCCATTGATCGAACCGGACTATGAATGCCTCCTCGAAGTACAGCTGCCATTTACCGAAGACGTCCGTACATACCGTTTCCCGCCACTGGACAAGGTCATTACTACTTCAGGAAAGGTGGTCACAGAGCACCGGAATCTTCCCAATGATGATTTGGTGAACGCGATGAGCGAATACGTGGATAGTATGGAGCTCGTTGATGAGGATGACGAAGGGTGCGTCATCTGGTTTTGTGTGAGAGCTGGGCTGGGCTAATAAATGCAGGAAACCTGTCGAGACATTCCCAATCGAAGATGCATTCTCACCAGTGCTGCACAGAATCGATTCAGCGATCCGTTTCCGGGCAACCCATCCGAATGACCCACTGCCACCACCGGCCGAGATCCTGACAAGGTTCTCTCAGCCACCAGAGGAGGCGGTCCAGAGAGCAAAGAAGTACCTTGACAGACTGACGGATGTAGCCGATGTCAAGAAAGGTCAGCCTTTCACCCTTTTCCTAAATATGCACATGCTAACGATACCTGCAGTACCACCTAAGTCGAAGGGCCGCAAGCGCACCCGCGAAATCGAAAAGCCGTTGTCTGGTCTTGACGTCGATGCTCTCCTCCATCAAGAGAAGCGTACTAAGATCTCACCTACCAATTCCATCCCCGAATTCAAGCAAACGCTATCGCACGCAGAGAACGTCGATACTATCAGTGACGCCGTGAAGCAGATGACGGCCATTGTCGAAAATCAGGTCAAGAACAGTCTCGGCGATGCCAACTATGACCGGGTTGTTGAGAGCCTTGGTGTTATGCGCGATGAATTGATCTCCTACGAAGAGCCAGCTTTGTACAACGATCTTCTGAAACTGCTCAAGGACAAGTTGTTTAAGGAGGAACTTGGTGGCGATCGACGGGAGCTGTGGTGGCTCATTCGGAGGAGTAAGATTGGGTTGATTGACAGCAATCAATCTGATCGATCCGAGGTCTCGGAGGATGTGGCTAATGAGGTAAGTATCCGTGTCCTAGTAGTCTACAAGCAAATGTTGATCGTTCCAGTTCATGTCTTCGCGATGAGATTCTTGGCTATAAGCAGGTTGGTATTGGATAAGGAACCATCGGATAGCTTCATTAAGATTGGTCGTAACTGGTTACGATACTCATGCATGTAATGATCTTGGAATAAACGCCGGTAATGAACTCAAGAGATCTTCCCCAACCTCCTCTTGGAAATATCGAGTTTGCCTTGTAACCTGTAAAGTCTGGTCAGCATCATTCGCTACACGAATGAGAATCGAAACCACATACCGATCAGTATCCTCATCCGCCAGCCTCAGCAGATCATTCTGAACCTGCAACTCCCCATTAATCGCAATCCCCAACTCCTTCTGCCTCGCCACAATCTTCCTCAACTCCTCCAGCCCCACATCCTGATCCTGCATCGTCTCCCTCTGCAACTGCAACACACCCTGGTTATCTAACTCACGCGTCCTTTCCGTCTCTTTCCCGAGAACTCTCCCAGAACGAGCTGGCTTGCGAGCACCCGCACCACCAACAAGCGCTTCTTTATCCTCAAGCGACGCAACAGCATTATCAATCCTTCCCTTCGCAGCAATCGCATTCAACAAATCCTCCAACCCATCCTTCTCCTTCCGCGCATTTACAAGTAAATCCCTCCGTCGCCGCAGCTCCCCTTCACCAAGAACAACCCCATCACCCCATCCATTCCCGCTTCGCTCCCGGCTCTGACTCCGACTATCACCACCCCCGTTCTTCCCCTTCGACGACGAAATATCACTTAGATTCTTCAACCCTTCTTCTAGCGCAGCGATTAGAGATCCTGCACGTACAAGAGCGCTCTTCGCCATCGCCGAACTCTCATGTTGCTTCTGCGGCGTGGTCTCCTGGTCCCGTCTCGTGAGCTGTAGTCGCGCATCATGTAAATGAGCCTTCATATCCCTGAAACAATCCAGCCACAGCGTAGGATCGGTAATTGCTTTTCCGCTCCCGCCGGGCCCCGACGCAGCCGCTGGATCTGTAATCGCCGCATGGAGCCGTGCAGTCGTATGCGAACCGTTGTCTTTTGCACCCGCCGCACCAGACGCGGTATTCGGAAGATTCAAGAACGCGCGCCAGGCGCTAGAGTTACGCCACTGGGGATCAGCGTCATTGTTTATAGCGCGGAGGTAAGATTCGAGACCTGCGCGGCGTTGTTCGCGGAGGGATGCGTTGGAGACAGTGTTTGCGAACCAGGATTTCGGGGGGAGCGGGGATGGTGGTGGGGATGTTGTTTGGGAGGTAAGTGCTGTGTGGAAGGAGGAGAAGTCGGAGTAGCGTTTGGAGAGGGTGAAGGAGCGGAGGGGGAGACGGAGGGTGATGTTGTACAGGGTGTAGGGGGGGGATGTTGGAGAGAGGGAGGTGGTTGGGATGGAGATTTCGGGGGTGGGCATGTTCTGTGTTATCTTGTCGCTGTTATGCCCTTGTTGTCTGGCGAGGATGTGTTATTATAGTTGGATTGACATTGCTGTGTCGTGGGTGCAACGGTGAGGTGTCTGGTGATAAAGTCGGTCTGTTGGACAGCGGCGCCTAAACAATGACGCCACCAGCATCACGGGTTCCTACATCGGATATCCCAGGGTACCTGAACAGAACATAGTTATTGTTGATAGTATTATTCAGTGTTGTTCAAGTCTATTAATATGAATGCATGGGTATCTAATTGATCTGCCATATCTCCCTGGCCTCCAACAGATCTCTCTGTCCGTAATACTCGCCTACCACCGTGATGATCATATCCAGCATAGCTCGAGTCTGCATGGCCACATCGCCAAGGTTCTCTTCTCTGTCAGAATGCGCCTGTACCTGACCGTTCTCATCCACATGCCCCTGGATTTTCGCCTGGAGTCGCGCCTTGGCTGCTTCTAGTTCGTCGGTTGTATTCTCCGCTTCGACGTCTTTGATATCGTGATCCTGTGCTGCGCTTTCAGCAGACGCAGCCTGTTCACCAACGCCGCCTGTTCCTGCTTCCTCAACATGCACTTCGGCCTGCTCTTCTACCTGCCCCTCAGCCTGTTCCCCATCCTCCTCATCCTGATCTCCATCAACCGACTCTTCATCCTCCTCTACCGCGCGCTCATCCTCCCTCATCTTTCCCAAGATCTTCACAGCCCTCTTCCCCAAATCCCTAATCTCTCCAACCTCCTCCGTCCCCAACTGCCCGACCTCCCTACACTTCCCCAGCAACCCCCAAGCCCACGCCCCGATCCTCCGTACTCTCACAACATCCCCACTCCTCACATTCTCCGACATAAGCCTCGCCATGATCCCCAACACACCGAGAACACTTTCCATGTCCATGCATGCTAGCTGGACAGTCTGTGGATCGACGGAGAAGAGTAAGCGGCGCCATTCTTTGCGCGCGATTTTGGAGTGGCGTGGGAGGGAGATCGGGTGGGAGTTGTCGAGGAGGGGGATGGAGGTTGGTGGGGGTGTGCATTTTAGGATCGAGCGGAGGAGGAGGAAGCGGTGGCGGAGGAGGGTGTAGTAGGATTGTTGGGCTTCGGGGTATGCTGAGGTCGTGTCTGGGGAGGTTGAGGGTACTGCGGGTGTGGCGCGTGCCACGAAGACGCCGTCGACGTAAGTTCCTGCTTGGTCTTTTGGATGTGCAGATGCTTCGCGAATGCCGTGGACGGTTTCTTCGGTTTTGACTTGCTCAACTTCTATCGTCTCTGTTTCTGTTGTCTGAGTCTTCGGTGCGGTAAACAGCAACGGCAGCGAATTTGCTTCGGACCTATACGAGTCCACGATAAAAACCATCAGTCTCCAAACACTCTCGTTTCAACCGCGATCTCTATTAAACCAAAAACACAACCAGCCAACATTTAGCAAGCGTGTAAAGCAGCCAGCCAGGTAATGAAAAAAGAGGCACTCACCGGACCATCCTCAAATACTCCAACCCATCCTCCGCAGGTCCATAAAACAGCTCCCCTTCTAGCCCAGCATCAAGTCCCGGAAACGCGCTCTTTTGTCCGTAGAGAGGGTTGTTTCGCGGGCGTTCGTGGGTCATGGCGGATTGCTGCGAGGCTTGGGCGTTGTCTTCGTAGTCGTCATCTGCGTAGGAGACTCGCGATCGTTTGTAGGTTGTGCTTCCTGATATTGAGGAGGAGGGTTTTCTTTTATCTGGGATGTGCGACATTGTTGTTGCGATTGTTGGTGTTGGAGTGGTTGGAGGTGGACTGATAATCATGATGTTTTTTGGCGGAGGAGCTTGGGCCAGCGAGTAATTATGGAGTAAACACCATGTGATAGCACGAGTTGTATGAGCTTTAGGGATGCTTGGTAGCAGGATACTAGACAGGGATATAATATCCCTCATACTCGCAAGAGCAATAAATGGCTTGAATGCAAACAGGTAGGTATAACTCAAGTATGCTCACGACAATGCATACACTTCCCTCTCCGGAATATCAAACAACCCCAAAACCTCTCTATCAATAAAAGGAGCAATACTCATAAAAACAACCCCCGACTTCGCAGCCGTCGGATCAACCCACTAGTACAAGTTATTTATGCCAGCCCACGCACCACTCCCCTTCCTCCTCCCCCGGGCACATCCTCATTATTAGCCGTGAACGCACTAGACCACCCCTTCTGTATCCCAGAAAGCAATGTCCCGTTATTATTAAGGGACGGATCAACAGAGTTAAATGTTCAAATAGGATCACCTTTCGGTTCAAAGCCAGGAGAATGATAGTCCGCGACCGCAAGCGGAATCTGGTCAGTGAAGATGTACCCATTCACAGTCTCGGGTCTGAGAATCGACACCTCAGTACGTGAATCCGTGGCCCCATAAACCAAAGCCAACAGGAACGTGAAATAGTCGTCGAGCATGGAGGTGTGATATTCCGCGTCTGCGTCGACAAAGACCCCGGTTTGGTGGGAGAAGCTGAGTACGGCGTTGCAGTGATAGTCCCGTTCGCTAGGCGCTGGTGATAAGCGATGTCGGCCGGGTAACTACCTGTGTTCTGCATGTCTAGGGGATTGATAATATGTTCTCGCAGTAGCTGGCCAGGGACTAGTTGGAGATTGTTCCAATGCCCCAGCCGAGCGAACCTATGTTGTAGCCGTCGCCTGCATCGAATGCGAATGGAGCTTGGGAATCGGCTCGTGTCTTCCTGGTAGAAGCGAGAGCCACATTCTGGCACCATTGCATCCATTGTTTGATGTTGGCATTGAGGAAGTTATATCTCAACCCAAAGTTATATATCATGAGGTGACGAATAGTTAGTTGAGTTCTCGGCGCTCGATGGATCGGCTCACCAGCATTGTAAAGCTCTTCAAAATCTGAAAGCCTTCAAGTCCTCCACACAGAGCCATCAAGGCTCGACTTCCCTTCCCCAACAAGCTGAAGCGCTACACTGGCCGTCACGGCTTTGGTTATCGAGGATATCCATATTTTTGTCGAGGGTGTTGTGGGTGGTGAGGACGGGTCTTCAATATTTGTTGTTCCCCAGGATTGCTTGAAGATGACGCTACCGTCTCTATTGAGCGCGGCAGCTGTGATTCCCGATATGCGCTTCTTGCTCACTGCATCTCCAAAGGCTTGGTTTAGTCGTGCGGTAGTATCGGTTCCTGGGCCATTATGGCTATTGTAAGGTTGCCTCGCTCGGAGAGGCATTTGCAAGAGCAAACGCTCCAAAGAAGATGGATCTTAATAACATTCCAAATAGAGATTCTGTAATGAATGGAAACTCAATGAGTATAGTCTGTAGGAGTTTGTATTTACTCTGCCTCTCCTTCTATATCTTCTGATTCTGTAAGCTCCCCAAAAGAGAAAGGTCCTGATATGCACGCCATAATCTCGAATATATAACATATTGCTATTTACTAATGCGGATTTGCTGCGCTAATGGCCCAATATGTCAGGATATGGTGCAACATTATTAATCGGGATAATATGCAGAGATGGTGCTAATAGGCAGCAGACTGCTGATGTAAGACTCAAAAAGACCTAACTTTGGAAAGACGATATGAAGATAGCAACTCGTAATCATTATTTTCTCCTGCAGACATAAATATACAAGCTAAGGACGCAAACGCTGGGGGTCACGAGGGAACAACGAAGCCAACCGGATGTTAGGCAATCCCAAGAAGAACATGACAATCCGGTTCAGACCCAATCCACCACCAGCGTGGGGCGGGCATCCCTGACGGAAAGCATTGAGGTAGTCCTCGAAGCCCTCCTGGTCCGGGTTTACACCCTTGGCAAGCATCGAAGTCTCCAGCTCCTTAATGTCGTTGATACGCTGGGCACCGGACATAATCTCCTCACCACGCATGAAGAAATCATATGAGTTGGAGAAACGGGGGTCCTTGGGATCAGCCTTGGTGTAGAAGGGGCGCACAGCCATGGGGAACTTGTCGAGGACGTAGAAGTCGGTGTCGTACTTGTCGCGGATGATCTGGCCCAGCTGCTTCTCCATCGCGGTGGAGAAGTCGTTCTCGAAGCGCTCCTGTTCCGAGACGTCGACGCCAGCTTCCTTGAGCAGGTTCACACCGTCCATGTAGGTCAGACGTAGGGCCTTGCCATCCTTAGGGAGCTTGAAATCACCGGCCTTGGGGTACGACTTCTGGATGGTTTCGATCTGCTTGCTGTAGCGCTCCTTGAGCTGGGAGAGGATGAAAACAAGAAGGTCCTCAGCGAACTCGAGGACTTCGTGGTAGTGGCTTCGGAAGGTCTTTTCGAAATCGAGACCGGCAAACTAGATAATCAGTTAGATCATGCCTTTCAGGTAGGGTGATATGTAAATACCTCAGTCAAGTGACGGTGGGTGTTGCTGTCCTCAGCACGGAAAACAGGAGCAATCTCGAAAACGTTCTCCATGTCACCAGCAATACACATCTGCTTGTATAGCTGGGGACTCTGAGCCATGTAGGCGTTTCTCTTGAAGTACTTGACCTCAAAAACGTTGCTACCACCCTCCGTAGCAGCACCGACCAACTTAGGAGTGAAGATCCACCGCGATCCACTCTTGATCATGTACTCCGCAAACAGCTCCGAAACGCCGCTGGAGATCCAGGTAATAGCCTGGCTGGTCTCAGTCTGAAGGTCCAGAGTACGGTTGTCCAGACGAGTCTTGAGCGTGACAATAGGAGCACCCTCGGCATCAACCTGAGGACCCTCCTCGGTCGTGTCAGGAGGCGGCCGCTCCGCATCCTTGACCTGCATAGGAAGCATCTGAGCAGCCTCAGAAATCATGTAAACCTTCTGGATGTGCAGCTCGAGCTCTTGGATTGTAGCAGATGAGATGGGAGTGTCAGGCTTTCTGACAATACCGGTCACCTGCACAATCGAGTTGACGTTCAATCCGCCCGTGTACTTGACCATCTGTCTCGAGATCGGCTCCTTAGCAGCAATGACTGCCTGCACCTTCTGTCCCTGCTGCCTAAGCATCAAAAACGCTAACTTGGCACTCTGCACACGCGCATTGTCCACACGAGCGACGATCGTAACCTCCTTGTCGTGGTGCTCCTCGGAGAGCTCAGAGAATCGCGTCGACGGGATCACATCTTCGGTTTCGGGAATCGGACCGTAAAGGTGTGTGGCGGTGTCTTCTGTCTGGGTAGCGGCCTTCTGGGCTTGTTCTTGAGCGGCACGCTGAGCTGCCTTCTCTGCCTTTGCCTTCTCCTTGGCGGCCTTCTTTGCGGCGCTCTTGCTGGGGCCCTTCTCTCCCTCCGCAGGGACTTCGCCGGCAGGGGTCTCCTCGGGCTTGGGACGAGTGGGTAATTCGGAATCCGCCATGGCTGCTATAATTGGGAGGGTTCAATAAGTTGGGGTGGACGATGGAGGTGATGCGCGCTGTTGCTTGACTCAAAGTGAGGATCTTGAAGAGTCACCCCGCCGCATACCCTAAGCCCTAAGAGGGGTATCACGTGATTCGTACCTCAGGCAGTGATCTGTATCATGCTCTCGACTCATCTTCGAAAGTATGCTTATATCTAATTGTCATAACTACCTCAAAAGACTACTAGAATGGCAAATAGATAATCTATTACTACTTCAATCAGAGTATCGGTATTTCTGGTGTATACTAGCTATAAGCATGCCATTGAATGATCACTGAATCTCTGGGGGGCAGATTTAAGAAACTTGCTTACAGCAAAAGCAATGTCTGATTAATTTTTAGTAATAATATCTAGAATAAATGATACTAATAGGCATAGTTCTTGTTCGGTGTAGCTTCTTTAGTGTTTGGTGTCAAACGGTCAATCAGTATAGTCGGTATGAGTTTTAATCAAGAAACAGTAGGTCTCGCATTTCGCGGATCTACCCAATGACGATACCCCCAGAAGTCAGCATGTGAAGTGACCAGTTAACGAGAAAATCAGAAGAATAAAAAAATGCCTGTGGAAATCCAAATGAACGTGTATATGTGAAGTGAAGACGAAGAAAAGGAGAGAGATTGAATGCGATCACGGGAGCTCGAGAACTGCATCCTGGCGGTGGGTCTTGAACTTGATCATTTCGAGAATGTCGGACATCATCATAATAAGACCGGCATATACTGGAAGAGTTACTGCTGCGTATGTGTACGTTGCGCCGTGTAAGAAGGCCACAGGCGCGACCAAACCTATCAATGAGGATCAATCCAGAGTCGCCTGGGTTGGCAAAATCTCTCGGAGCATGATCACCGGGCTAGTTAATAACAACATGCTCCGTCACTTCTAGACTCACAATAACTTTGTTTCCCAAAAAGTCGAAGCGCTGCCTGTCTCGGTTATTCCAATGGCACGAAACCCTTGTGCCATTGCAAATGCCAGCCGTTAATCCAGTTGCCTTGCCTACCTTACAATACCATTCACCTGCAGTAAGTACGCCAAACCCCATGAGTGGGTCTCCTAGTTCGTATTGGAATTATGAAACCGTAGTTGCAAACATCGATGGATTTCGGAACACGGGGCATGACATTCGGTTCGAACGATATTCCTTCGTTAATTGTCATGAAAGCTCAATCTATCACCCGGTTATTCCGAATCGTGTTTCCGCTAGAGATAAAACCTTGCCAATGGTTATCGGCATGGGCATCGCTCGGTCAATTTGCTTTTGATGCAGGGTAGCAAAAGCCTCATACCGGCCGATGCGAGAAGCATGATGGTGCGGGAGCTCGTCGACAGCCATCTCACGGTGGTATTTCCCCTGTCGAAGTTTGAGTAACTCTGCGTTGGGTTCCTCAAGCTGCCCCAACCTGTCAATCACAGTCTCCTCCATGTCTTTGGGCGCAAAGCGAATTACTTCGCGCCTGGTGTGGTCGTCCAAAGACAAAGAACCACAAAGATAAGCTTTGGCCTTAGTCTCTATTTTCGCTAATTCTGCAGGACTAACGACATGGAAATTAGTTAGAAAACCTGTATGCTTCTTGTCTCCGTATTTGAGGATCGTAAAAAGCCCTAAAGTACCGCCTCCGCATTCGCCAGCGACGGTAATGAAGTCGCCCAATTGTGGATATCCAGCTTTACGCATAGATGTGAACTGAGAATTCCCAGTCAGATGGCACAGTTCGCCAGGAAGGAATTCTACTGGGAGGCGGTGTGTTGTCTGCTGTAAATCCATCAGTTCAAGCAGAAGGCGGTGCCAGTTGTGAGTTGTATAGGGCTGCACGGTAACTAAAATTGTCGGCATGGCTCTAACCTTGTCTGAATCAGCTTCGTACAGGGACATCGTTGTCCATTTCTCATGAAAAGTAGAGTTCAACATGGCAATCATGCTAAACCTGCATTCTTCATAACGAGTCACTGCCCCGGCCGAAATCGCGAACAGATAAGGCCGAAAACAATTCTCAATACCTACGATGTCCACTTCAACATCGAAACTCTGATCGTATCGCAGGAGTTGTACGAGTTCATCCTTTACAGGGCCTGCAGCCAGAGGGGTGACTATGTTCCTGTACATGATGCGCAGAACCGTTGCTTTGCAGTTACCGGAATATCCAGGTTTATCGACCACTTGGACAACCAGTTTCCCGACCATCTTCGGTGGCAGAAAATTATGAGATTAAAGAATCATCAGTATTTGCGGTTCTAGCTGGAGGACTCTTCCCGAGGTCAAACTGTTTGCAGGTTCCGTTCGGAGAGACAAGGGGGATAGTTCTTGTAAAGAGATCGACCTGTACGAATCCGTGCGACAAAGGCATTGTTCTATCAGCATCGTACCTGTAACTTCTTCCGACTCTCTCGGCTGCTGCCGTCGTCTTCGTGGCGAATTCGGTAGAGTCGGTAGATTAGCCCAGGTTTATACCATATTGAGTCTGCGTTTATACAACCGTAAGCTTCCGTAATGAATATGCTGGCTAAAGCAGAGCGCTGTCGTCGCAAGAGGACAGCGTGACGGGGTTGACGGGGATAGGCGATATAACTAACAATTCTCTGCAATCGCATGATATTGCTGACTTGGCAAATGGGGTTTGAGCAGGCGGTGACGCGATAACGACCAGGTATGATGGGTATCATACTATACTGCTACCCCCCTAAGCCACCATGTCCCCTGTCCCAGTCGACAAGATGAAAGACTTTCTCTCGGGCGAGCGATTCTCGGACATGATAATCACCTACCAAGGGCAAGCGTCCAAAGTCCACCGTTTCATTATATGCAAACAGCCATCGTTCTTCGAGACTGCCTTGACTTGGCCCTTCAAGGAATCATCGAAACAGACTGTTGACTTGCCCGATGACGATCCGGAGACGATTGATAGTGTCATTTAGTATCTATAGATCAACGGTTGTCAGGAAGATGGGCATACAGTGCCGTTGGATGGTATATCGGAGCCAGAACAATCAGAAGACGAGACTACTACAAGCGAGCCAGCAGATGTTGATTCCATAAGACCAAGTGGGAGCAATCACGTCCAAGTCTATATTTCTGCAGACAAATTTAGGATTGTCAGCCTGAAGTCCCTTGTTAGAAAGAAACTTGCTCAGTGGACAAATGCCAACCGGGATTCTCCAACATTTGTTGAGATAGTACGAGAGGTGGTGAGCTCAGTGCCTCCGCATGACTTGGGTCTTCAAGATGTGATTGCCGGTGTTATATAAAAGCACGTTATTGCCCTTGTGGAGAAGGGGACAATTATACAGCTACAAAGGCTTTGGAAATATTGGGTCTGAGGTTATTAGCCAACTGGTGAGGAGCAATATGGTTAGGGAAACAGAAAGATTACGCAAGGCCTCTGCACCGGATCCCACAAAATTGGATGGTATGCGTTGTTGCGGATTCTGCAGAGAAAGGCTAAATGTGAGGTTTGGAAATGGAGAGTATCAATATGGTACTCTACGTTGCGGTTCGTGCCGTATGCAGGTTTGATCTCACGGATATCGTGTTGCTTCCGATTATGGTAGTTGATATGATACATTAATCCAAGACCTTCATGCTATCGATACTTATATCCTGTACTCCTATGCACCATGCAATCGTCAATCATAAAATGCACTATGTACATGTGCCAATATGCGAATAAATCATAGATAATATACACCCACGTCAGGATCATCATCGTTATTATCATAGTCGTCGACCACCCCGTCTCCATTCGCGGTTTGCAAGGCAGGCTTCTTCCCCCTAATCCTCCGCTGCAAAACATTATCAATCTCCTCATCCTCCTGAATCCTCTGCTCAGTGAGAAACGCATCCGCAAACCCCACAGCCCTCAGATTCCCCAAACCAGTCGCAAAAGTTTCAACAAGCGATGCCGTCGAGAACCCCAGCATTTCTTCGAAAAATGGATTCCCAAACTCGAGTACTTCTAGTGCTAACGGAGGGACCATGTAATTGAGCATGTCGAAGAAGGATTCTTCGACTAGATCGCCGGGAATGCTGAGGAAGCTCAGTCCAGGAAGGAAGGCGGGAATTGCGTTTATGGACTCAGGTGAGAGGTTGCGGTTTGAGCCGGAGATTGTGAGACGCGACAGGCAGGCCGCGAGGTGGGGACTGCTTATTAGAGAGCCGAGATTGTTCACAGAGAGATTGGAGCAGTTTTTCAGTGTCAACGACGTAAGAGAAGGAGGCCAGGCAAAAGACGGAATTGCGGTGGGCGAGAAGGAGCCGCTAAATTGGAGACGATAGAGATGTGGTGGCCAGGATACCAATTCCGATCCTTGGGCTTGGAATTCATCGAGGGAGGTGGAGCGGGGGAGTCGGAGGGTGAGGAGTTTGGAGAGGCTACTGAGGGCCTTTTTGAGATTTTGGAAAGGGAGGGGCTCGCCGACAAGGGATAGATCGAGGTGTCGGATGTTGCGACACTTGGAGAGGGCTGGGAGGCAGTTGACTCTGCATGCTGTTAGTATTGTTTCGCACTGCAATTAGGCATAGACTCACGCAAAAGTGACACTGGGCGCGATAAACACCTCCAGGTTCTCTTTCACCTTCCCAAGCAGCCTCGATGTCAAGCTATTCGAGCTATGATGCACGAGGCAGCTCAAATCTAGCCTCCGAACCATACTCCCCAGATTCATCTTGCTCTTCCGCGACGCGACAGGCGGGCTAATTGTGTCGGTAAATTTGTAGAACGCCCTGCCCTTGTCTAGCCGGGGTTTCTCATAGAGGAACGCAATGGCCGCTGAGTACCACTGGCGGGAAACCAGACAGCAGACATGCATGGTTCTTTGGCGTTGCGCATTGTTATCTGCGTTGGTAGCGGCGAGGGAGACGATCAAAAGGATGACTTCAGTAGGAAGATGGATTTGGCGGGGCGAGGTCGAATGCATGGAGGGCAGGCGTAGGCATAGAGTCGTGAATAGCCCATTATATGTCTGTGTCGATTGCGGCGTAGAGAAGAAATTGTTGAGGTAGGAGTGTAGTGGAGTGGAAAACTGTTGATGGTGAATTTGAGGCTATCGCCGATTTGCCCAGACCAAGACCGGGCAATGATATCATCCTCCGCCAACTGGTTCTCTTCTCTCTTCCACCACTTCTTCTGCTCTTCATTCTTCATATCGTCCGTTTATTTCTGTCTCACCATTTTATCATTCTATAGAGCATGATGAGGCCTCAATTTCTCCATCGCTCGTTGGGACTGCTGCAGCGCATCCCGAGTCGCTCATTCGTACCAACTGGCTTGGGCCGCAGGACCCTCAGTTCTTCGCCTCGCGTTCCTGACTTTGCCTTCGCTTTTGAGTATGCGATACTAGCTTAAATGAATGGACAGTGCTAAAAATGGCCGTCTAGTATCGATGGCGTCTTACTGCGATCCTCAAAGCCCATCCCCGGCGCAGCAGACTCGTTGCAATACCTCAAAGAACAGAACATCCCGTTTATCCTCCTGACGAATGGCGGCGGAAAACACGAGTCGGAACGAGTCGCGGAGCTTAGCGAGAAACTTGAAGTCCCATTAGATCCGTCGGTTATTATTCAGAGCCATTCCCCGTTCGCAGAACTCGCAGGTGCATTGGAGAATAAGCGTGTGTTGGTTGTTGGAGGGGATAGCGATCGTTGCCGTCAGGTGGCAGAGAGGTATGAATGAATCGCCTGCGGAGGATAATATATGTTGACACAGTCAGATACGGATTTAAAAACGTCATAACCCCCGGCGATATCTTCAAGGCCAACCCCGACATCTGGCCAGTATCCAAAGTGTTCAGCAGCTACTACGAACAATTCGCCAGACCAATAGAGAACCCCGACCAGATCGATGCCCAGGATCCCTCAAAAGGACTCAAAATTGACGCCGTTTTTGTCTACAACGACCCTCGCGACTGGGGTCTGGACGCACAAGTGATCATGGACGTTCTCTTATCATCGAATGGGGTCCTAGGAACAATCTCGGAGAAGAACGGCCAGGCTGATCTTCCCAACAAAGGCTACCAGCAAGACGGCCAGCCGCCCCTATACTTCTCCAACCCAGACCTATGGTGGGCAGCGGCCTACCCTCTACCCCGTCTCGGACAGGGTGGATTCCGTGAAGCCTTAGAAGGCGTCTGGGCTGCCACAACAGGCGGACCCAGTAAAGGCGTTGAACTGAAGAAGAACATCACAGGAAAGCCATACCAGGCAACATACGAATTCGCAGAGCACCAACTCATACGCAACCGATCGCGGGCCTTTGGCGGGGCGATCACTCAACCTTTACGGAACGTCTACATGATTGGTGACAACCCGGCATCTGACATTTGCGGGGCAAACACCTTCCGCAGTATCCATAAGAGCGAGTGGCATTCTATCCTCGTCCGCACTGGAGTGTACCGTGGAGGTGAGCCGGCGTGGAAGCCGAACACGATTGCTGATGATGTGCAGAAAGCCGTTGAATGGGGGCTTAAGTCATCTAAGTGGTAATCTGCTTGGGACCTTGGGTGCACCCGGTCACCTCATAGATCCTTTCGCCTTGTGAAACATGTGGGTATAGCATATCATATCATATACCATTTGCATAGCATAACATATATTTAGCATTCGAACTTGAATAAACTACTCTAAAATGACAGACCATGAAAAAATATTGTCTTCATTTACTTTTCTGCAGGCATAATATGCAACATCAACTAAGGTATATAACAGGCGTCGACGCCTACAATATCCATCTAGGCTCTAGAAAAACATACACCCCCTAGCGTAAAGACAAAGACAGTAAAACAAATCCGATTCAACAATCAACAAGTATGCCGTGCATAGGAAGAACCCATATTTGTAAAATTAAGACAATATAGAAAAGAAAAAAGAAAAAGAAAATATGAAAACTCGCTCACTAAAACCCTGCGTCCGGCTACAAGACAAGACGAAAAGAAAGCGTAAAAAGTAAAAAAAAAAAAAAAAAATCAAAACAAATAGGTATGAATGTTAAAGAAAAGAAACTAACTCAACGACGCAATAACAGCAGCAGCAACGCCCTCTTCTTCCGCCCGGACGGTAATCTTGGTCGTGACACCGGTCTTGGTCGAGTAGGCCATCTTGATTAGCGATGCGACTCGGCCTCCCGATACTGTCTTGCCGAAGAGTTTGAGGGTGTGCGTGCTGTTGCTGAGGGAGACGTCGGTTCCCTCGAGGGGTTGCAGGGAGAGTGCGGCAATGAGTTGTTCCATGGCATCTGTTATAGTTAGCTTTTGATTCTCATTGTTAAAAAAGTAAAGAGAAACATACCCGCGATGCCCTTCATGTTACTGAGCTGTAGAGTCTCGCTCAATTCCTCGCCATTTGCCCCAGTCTGTTCCCACACGTGGTCGAAGCTACCAGCAAACGTAGGAATGATATAGTCGCTACCAGTGAGCTCCAGATCCTCGACCTGGTACTCATCGTCATAACCGTTTGCCTCAGGCTCACCGGTGGTAGGATCAACCTCCTTGCTGGTGAACTTCAAGCTGTTGGTGAACGAAGTAACAGGAACGCTGTTCTCGCCAGCAAGCTTCTTGAAAGTCACGTAGACGATACCAGGCTCGTTGGTGGCAAGCTTGGGGGCGGGAACGATGAATTCCTCTTCCAACTGGTCTTCTTCCGCTGGCGCGACCACCACATTCACATCTTCCAGAATGGTATCCGGAAGGGTGTTCTTAACGTCGTATTGCAGAACAACGTGTTCCTTGAAGATGTGCTTGACGGCAGTAACCACGTACTCCGTTTCGCTCTCGGTAAGTTCGACAGGGCCAGACGACTTGAGCAGAGTGCCGTATGCCTTGAGCTCGGGGATCTGCATGAGCTGTTCTGCGTACCTCTGGGTAGCAGCGGCCGTAGAAGCCTCGGCCACACCGCTGGCCTTGCTCTTGGGTGGACCAGTAGAAGGAGCCTTGAGCGTGGGAGTTGCCGTCGTGAGCTTCTTGGTCCGCTCCTCGGCAAGAGCCTGCTCCTGAGTAACAACAGGGATGGAAGAAACATCGAATGCGGCGGCGAACGTGTCTTTATCCGACGATGTCACATACATGACGAGCTGGTGCTCGAATGTAGAAAGCGAGTACATCGAGTCATTCTTGATGAAGTCTCCAGCCTTTTCGTCTTCCTCGCCCATTAACCGGAGGTTAAGAGCAGCACGGTCACGCACTTCGTCATCCGTGTCATCCAAGCATCGTGTAAGCAGAACTGAAACACTGGACTTGACCTCGGGGTCCTTTTGACCAATGCCAAACTTGGCCAATGCAGTGACGGCAGCGGCCCGAACAATAGCGTTCTCCAGAACAACACGGTTGTAGATGTAACGGATGTACTTGGTAGGATGCGAGGTCTTGGGGCCCTCCACACCAAGCAGATGCAAGATCCGGACAGACAGCTTGGTGAACTCACAGTCTTCGATAAACTCGCAGAGGTGTGCGAGAGCGTCTTCCTTGCTCTCCGGCACGAACTTAATCAAATCGAACATGCTCTCCACAACACTGCGCTTGAACTCATATCCACCCTCGTCCCGGAGAATACCGCTCAAGAACGAAAGCATACCAGCCTGCTTGTTGGGGAACTTAAGACAAAGGGTCCGGATAGCCTCGACAATTGTAATCTTGAACTCATCCGTAGTATCAGCCATGAAGCCGGAAATTTGCTTCATAAGACGGTCGACACTAGCCTCATTTCCGGTCTTGAGCAGAGTGGTAATGGCAAAGGTAGCGATAGAACGGTTGCTGTTGGAGATCAACGACTCGATATCGGGGTTGCAAACGTTGACGACATTAGGCTTGAACGACGCAAAGTTGTGAAGGATTCTGATAGCGGCGAACTTGGTGATAGCCCGCGGGGACGAGAGGAATAGCTGCAGAACATGGACAGCCTGCGAGGCTTCGGCATCGGAGACATCGCGCATGTCGCAGATAGCCTTGGCGGCCTCGAAGTTGACCATCTCATGCTTGTGCCGCAGCCAGCCATCGAGCATCTGCATCATTGGTTTCCTCAATCCCTGGTCCTCCTCTGCCAGCTTGGCAGCCAATCGCACCAACAGCACCAGCGCAGCCGGACTCTTGACCACCCCCGCAGCACCGTACTGCTGCACCATCTTCACCAATGACATGCGGTCGTGCGAGCGCATCTGGTACAGGAGACCAATGGCATGGTATTGGGTCATGAAATTCGACTGCGAGATGGCGTGGGCCTGGGACCCGCCGAAACCAAGGAAACCGGTCGACTGCTTTCCGGACGAGGCAGCCTCCTGAGTCTCACTCTGCCATCTGCGCACCACGTCACGGGAGATCGGGAGAAGGTGGTAAGAGGATACCAAAGCAGCGGAGGAAACGGAGGGGGTCTTGTCGACGATGGCGGTTTTGATGAGACGCTCGATACCTTGAACTGTGGTGGCCTGCCGGAGTCAGTACCTAGACCATCAAAGAAAACAACGAGGAACGTACATCAATAATTCGACAAAGCGCCCGAATCGCATTCGCCCTGTATAAAACATCACTACCAACAGCCGTATCCTTCATAATGATACTCGTCGACATGATCGTATCCTCCGCGGTATTCGCCAATTCCTTAAGAATCAAATACACCATCTGCCGCAGCGAGGGGTCCTTATTCTGGAACAGCTTCGAGATACCGAAGAACAACGTGGTGGCCTCGTTCGTGGGGAACTGCTCCCCAGTGAACAGGAGAACCGCGATCTTGGTCAGGAGGGTGCGACATGTCCGGGGCGAGATGGGGGAGGAATTGAACAATCGTGCTGTCACAGTTAGCAACGACAATTAGTTGTAATATACCCCGGGAGGCTAAGGGAGAAAGGCCGTGTACCATCTTGGAAAACGGAGGTCCGATCAAGCTTGATCATGACCTGGTCCGCATCCTCGTCTTTCTTAACGTAACTCATTATTATGCCGGGTGCTACTGTATTTAGCAGCCGAACTCAAACGCGTTTATTTCTTTTTATTCGTCCAATCGGGTATATCGAGCGTAGTTGTATTCGCCGTTGGGAGAGGAGAGGTATGGTTGGATCAGGAACGGGGAGTGGAGGTGGATAAGTGTTAAGTCGAGTTGGCAGGAGTAAGTAGCTAGTATGTATATGGCGGGTTAGGCACTCGACTACCGCCTCATATCCGGGAGAAACAACAAAAGCCAAATAAGAAAAGGACAATCAAAAAGTCCGAAGAATTCGTCCCAGACGAAAAGCAAATTGAGGCTCTTGAGAGTACAGTAGAGTTGACTGAGTGTCTAACAATCTCCAGGTGGCCTTCCGGAGCGTTTCTGTGGGCTCCGGCCACGTGAGAAGCAGTGCAAACAATCCAAACACGCGGGCATCGTCATTGAGTATAACAACTAAACTAAACCACTTCATTCTTTCTTTCAATTGTATACCGGATTGAAGTCAACATGCAAGTCGAAGTGAATCCCAACGAAGATACTGAATGGAACGACATCCTCCGCCAACATGGCATCATCCCTGAAAAGCCCAAAGATCCAGAACCCCTAATCCAAGAGGCGCTGGTCGAAGCCGAACACAAAGCCCACGAGAACAGATTAGAAGATAAAGATCTGGACGAGCTCGACGAACTCGAAGATGAAGAGGACGAAAAATTCTTAGAACAATACCGGTATGTGCCCTCTCTTCACCCAATACCTATCTTCATACTCAATGCTAATGGAACAAGACAAAAACGCCTCGCCGAATTAACAACCCTCCAAACCACCGCCATCCACAACCAAGTTTACCCGCTCCAAAAAGTCGATTACGGCCGCGAAGTCACCGAAGCCTCTAACCAGTACTTCGTCCTCGTACACCTCTCGTCCCCCTCCGGCGGCGCAAACCCCGAGTCCCGCATCCTCTCCGAGATCTGGCGCCAGGCGGCAGCCAAGTTTGGCGATGTCAAGTTCTGTGAGATTCGTGCGGATATGTGCATTGAGGGGTATCCAGAGAGGAATACGCCGACGGTACTGGTTTATAAGGATGGGGAGATTAGGAGGCAGTTGGTTACGTTGAAGGAGGTGGGAGGTGTTAGGACGAAGCTTGCTGGTGAGTACTTTTTGACTTCCGAGAAATGAGATGGCTACTAATGCACTTGATAGATATCGAGCAAATGCTTCTTGACTTAGGAGCGCTGAAAGAGAGCGACGTTCGTCTGAAGAAGCGATCCAATTCGGAAGAGGAGGACAGCAAGGCAGAAGAATACAACGTGGAAGATTACGACGATGATTGGGATTAGTTTGTTGAAAATGATACCAGCATATACGGCAATATAACATTGTATACCATTTCGAAAATCTACCATTTCGGAAAACACTGCTTGTTCATGTGTACGTCAAACAATTGATCTTGACAATGTATCATAAGTATCCAAAGTTGAAACGCAATTTCATGTGCATTCCATATCATATCAACAACACGCCCAGCTCCTTGTATACCAGTAATCTCCTCAGTTGCCAACAAGCATAACCCGAAATAGATAGATCTCAACTCCACCCCAAAGCGCCCGAATATCAAACAAAAAAAAGAACCAAATGTCACATCATCAAACACCAATAAGGGCTAAACAGCAAATTATAGCGCATCCCTCCCCGCACATCTCTCAACAGCCCTCCTAACCTCCCCTTCCGGAAACGCCGGCCCCTGCCCATTACACTGCGTAATCTTCTTCAACTGCGCATGCACATCCGCAATATCCACCAGCCCCTGCTTAAACAGCTCATGTTCCTGGATAAAATCCCAAGTCGCACCCGCATCAAGCAGCTTCTCGCCGGTTATGGGGCAGGTTGCCATGCGGTGTCGCGGAGTACCGGTACCGGTAGTGGTACCTTGTTCGCCAGGGGTGGAGGTGGAAGCTGAGGAGGGCTTGAAATCGAGGGGCTTGTAGATCATGGGGCCTGTTGTTGTTAGTTCATTGGAGGGGAGAGGGCGTTTGTGACTGGGGTTGGATTGAGGGTGACTTTGGGATGTTGCGCGGAGGATCTCGTTTTCTGTTGTAAAGCGTGCTAGTTCTTGCTTTAGGCGTTCGTTGTCGGTGTGCAGGATGCTTGATGTTCCCTCGAGGTCATTGACCTTTTGCTCTAAATCACGGACGTGTCGTTCTTTTCGCTCGCGGAAAGCTCGTTGACTATTCCCACCCAAATCAATCACAAGTCAGCCATACCCTAGACTTCAATTCCATTTAGAAAAGGAGGGTAAAAGGAACATACGCAGCCCGATTCTGCGCCTTCCTTTTATTCGGATCCACAACTCCCCCATCCTTCTCCTCACTACTACTCCGACCCAAACTCTCCGCAACACCAGTACTACTCTGGCTCTGCAGATTACCTTCTGACGACTGCTTCAGCGACTCCGGTGGTGAATGTGGCGGTAGTGGATTCTGATGATGATGCTGGGCAAAAGGTGTATTGGGATCTAGCCCAAATCCTAGGTCGAAGGGGGCATTATTGTTGGTTTCATTTGGGTTCTCGTTGTTGCGGTAATTCTGATCGATTTTTGTTAGGTCTCGTTGTTTTGTCGTAATAATGGGGTCGAATGGCATACCAAAGCGGCGGCAATAAGGTCATCGGCTCCATGAGGGGTTTGATTTGGGTCGGGGGTGGGTAAGCCGTGGATGTCGTACAGCGAGAATGGCTGCGAGGGTGTGTCAGGGAGGTATGAATAGTCCATTTCACTTGTTTCTATAGCTGGCTGCAAAACATAGAAGTTCTAGTTCAAGGGTTCGATAACGCAGAAAGCCTAGGATCAAATCTCCGGGCGGTGAGAACGGTTCGCCGCCTCTTCGGGTCTGGAATTACGGATTAAGCATTTAGGAGCACCGATAGCGCGATAGACGAATTAATTCTGTATATATGCAGACTACAAAAGAGCATCCGATCGGTCGTTCAAATATGACCATATTATGAATGACTCCACCACGAAGATCAGATAAGAGGGGATAGAAGGAATGTATAAACCATTGGGAAAAAAAAAAAAAAAAAACACAAATCTAAACACAAGTCGACGCTTAACCACCCCGGGCGCGACCCTAACCATATCCGTCGCCAATAAACCTGATGTGATGAGACGTCTTCCCCCCAGATCGCGGACCACGCTTCAACTGCTTATCCACCTTAGTCGCCTCCTCCCTCGTTGGCGTCCGTAACCATGTAGACAATAAAAGCGTGACCAAAGCATCCTAAGATCATGTCGTTCTCAACAACCACAATCATGAATCTCCCGAACCATCCCCTCGTCCCCTGTTTGCGTCGACTCGAAAACATGAAACACATAAAAACATAGCAACAGCGACAAACGCACGGGAAGTAAGAAAGAAGCACAAAAGAGAAATTGGGGGAACCCGCAAAGATCAGCTCCAAGCATCCAAGGATCTCCTCCATTGACAAGTTGTCATCCGTTGGGTTTGCAATTTAGTTCAACACGAGAGGCAACCGTCATTTTTGGCTTTGCATCTCCTTCTGTCCACCCTTCCGTTTGTCCGCAAGAACATCGAAAAGAACTCCGAATGTTTTCTTTTTCTTTTTTTTTTTTAAAAAAAAAAAAAACTTCAGAATAGCCGTATACAAACCGGAAGGGGTAAAAGACATAGATAGCCACGCAATTTCTTCTCTTTCTTCTCTTTCGGTTCAACCAGTCTCGAAATAGCAATAGTAGTCTTCTCTGCTTGCTCGTCGTGTGTCAACCATTCCTGGGTCCATTGGATTCAGAAAGCGAACGAAGACAAGCCAGAACAAAGAAAAACCACGGTCGAAACGGTCTCGGATCGAAAAAGAGAAGCGAAAACAACGGGATGGTGGGCTAAGAGAGGGTGCAAAGGGAAATAGGAGAAATAAAAAAAAAAAAGAAAGAAAAGAATCCGGAGGATCCAATAGTAAGGAAAAAGGAAAATAAGTCTGTCGAAGGTTCGTCGCAAGGCCGCAAAGGTACCGGACAGAAGTAATCACGTTGGGTTTCCGGTCGTCTCGGTCCGCATGGCGTCCACATGCAGAGAAGATACCGAAGTCGTCACAGAAAAAAAGAACTGCTATGCTGCAACGGATCAGTACCATTCGCCAGCACCGTCCCGCCTCGTGCGACTACTAAGTCCATAACCACCAGCAACCTTGGAAGAAGAACGCAGCCTAACGCCGAAGACTATGAGATTAGTCAGATTCTGAACAACTATTTATCATTGGATCTTGATTAGACAATTTCAGGGGGGAAGAGATTTGTCGAAGTAATCCCCATTCAGATACTCACATCCGGTCACTTCCACCCACAGCACGGCTAGTCTCGGGGGTGTGTTCGGCAACCTTGCGGCGCTGGCTGGTGATGCCACCAGGCTGCTTAACGGCCGGACCCATGGGGGTACCACTGACGCCCTGGCGGCGCTGCTCCTCATCCTTCTTGTTGGCGTCAACAATCATGGCGGCGTTCTTCTGGTACTTATAGACGGTCCAGTCGAAAACATAGTCGTACTGGAAGGACTCGCGGACGAACAGGTCTCGGAAAATCTTCCGCAGGTAGGAGTAGTCGGGCTTGTCGTCGAAACGGAGGGAACGGGTGTAGTTCAGGTAGATGGCGAACTCGTTGGGGAAACCACGGCAAAGGACCTCGGTGGGGGTGGTCATCTTCTTCTCCATGATACGGTCGTACTTCTGCTTCTTAGTAGCGGCCTTGAGACCCTGCCAGGGAAGGGAACCACGGCAGAAGTAAAGCATGACATAGCCAAGGGATTCCATATCATCACGGCGGGACTGCTCGACACCTAAGTGGGTGTTGATACTGGCATAACGCGCGGTTCCGGTGAGGTTCTTGTTCTCACGGTAAGGGATGTGGAAGTGCGTCTTGGGGTCACGGTATTTCTTAGCGAGACCAAAATCGATGACATTGACCTGGTTACCACGCTTGCCGATACCCATCAGGAAGTTGTCAGGTTTGATATCACGGTGGATAAAGGATTTGGCGTGGATATATTCGATCCGGGAGATGAGCTGGTCGGCCAGCAGAAGAACGGTCTTCAGAGTGAACTTGCGGTTGCAGAAGTTGAAGAGATCCTCCAAACTAGGACCGAGCAGGTCGATGACCATGGCATTGTAGTCACACTCAGTACCGAACCAACGCACAAATGGGATACCGACACCACCGGCAAGCGACTTGTAGACACGAGCTTCATATTCCAATTGGGGGTGTTTGGCCTTGACGCTCTCGAGCTTGATGGCAATTTCCTCGCCCGAGATTATGTTGGTACCTAATCACGTTAGAATTCCCATCATTACCAATCGTCATTGTATAAAGTCGAGGACGCACCGAGGTAGATATCACCGAACGAACCGCTTCCGATCTTGCGGCCGATACGGTACTTGTTTCCGACACGTAAATCCTGACAAGTCAGCAGTGATCCAGCAACTCATTGGTACGAGATAAGCTTACCATGGTGGTCATGTTGGCGTGAACAGGATGGCACAGCTACCGGCTGTGCTGGCAAGACAGGGGCTGCAGATCGTCAGCAACTTGACTCCGGGGTGGGATTCTGATCAAGCAAGAGTCGAGAGAAAGGGAGAGAGAAAATTGAAAAATAAAAGAAAAACAAAAAGGAGAAGTAGACTGGTAGAAAGAGCAAACGTGATAGGGAGAGGTCAGAAGACGAATAAAGGAAGAAAGAAGAGGGGAGGAGGCACGGTGAAAAAGCCCAGCCGCTGCCAGCGCGTATTACTTGGCAGTGAATTGCGGAAACCAGAGCCAGACTAGTACAAATGATAGCATGGAATAGTGATCAGAACAACAGAAATAATATAGATACTCACCTAAAGTTAGGGGGATATTGGTGAATATTGAAGGAGAGAAAGACGGAAGAAAGAAAGAGATGGTGAGATAGCAGTGATGTCTGCTCGAAACCGCCGACCGTAGTTAAAAGTGGTCCGACCGGGTGATGGCGAAAAAAAAATTGAATAGGCAGAAACAAGTCAACAAATAATCAAGAAGGGAAGCCTTCAATATCACCGGTTTCAAACCACAGAAGAATAATTACAGAAGAAGGAAGAGAAATAAAATTGAGGGAAAAAAAGACCAAAAAGAAGGGGGTAGACCAACAGGGCAAAATTACCGCCCCAGAAAACCACCAAAGTAAGAAAGAAGTCGGTGAGATCCTATTCTATCCTGGTATGTATTCGTATTACTAGTACGGTATTTGGGGTGTGTCTCATAGGGCGTATATCTATTTATACTGGTGAATCATCGACCGCCTTACCATACCGTACTATACCGGATACGATACATTCGGGCATCAGTCTTGGATATGCCTGACCTCCTATACTGACTATCAACATTATATAGCTACAGAGTACAAGTCTATATAACTATCACTATCCTGTATCAATACACCACCGCTCTTCCGGCGTTACAGAATCACACGAGTTCCACTGCAGCCGGCTGATCGCTATCTCACCTCGCCGATGCGAATCCTGCCACCGCTGTATTCGGGACTGCCATTAAGGGCTGACTTTGTATACCTCAGGCAGGATAGGTATATGCAAGCCCTCGAGGCACAGGCCACTGCCAACTCATTGCATTCGTACTCGATCAACCGTTGGGCATCTGATGGGGGAAAAAACCACTCAAGACTCATGAAGAACAATTAAAATTAACAGTCGATCCATCGAACAGATAAAATATATAGAAAAGTGGTAGTAGTCGTACAGTCGGAGCCAAACATCTTGGTCAAACAAATCGAACAGATATCAAAATGGGTATAAGAACCAGCAGAGAACACATTCATAAGAAAAAAAATGAGAGAACGCTTCTCGTCCACACACTGGCAAGAGTAGCAAAAGTTGTACAGAAACGACAGATAAGAACGATAATGAAAAAGGGGAACCGCAACAGACATGCTTCTTTTTTTTTTTAAAGAGAAGGAAAATGTTTTTTTCTTCTTGTTTTCCTCGAATCGTTTCATCCCCGGATGCACAATTATATCATGTTCGTAGTGTCCATGCCATCGCCGGGCTTGCTGGGTTTGCCCCGGTCAGCCGTGCCAGCAACAGGCGACTCAGCTCGCGACGATGTGTCATCATCCAATCGTCGCCGCCATTCCGCCAGGCTGTCACTCAGCCCACCCTCATGTGTTTCCTTGGTCGGGGTGCGGTCGATATCAGACTGCGTGCTCAACCGGTAGTTATTAGTACTCTCCCAGTGGGTGCGGAGAGCCTCCAGTTCATTGGCCAAAGAGTCCAGCGCCACCGACCCACGGTTGTCCGGGAACGAAGGGTCGTCTTGCGAGACGTTGCTATCCGCGCGGGTCCGGCCAATCGTGTTGCTCGATGCGTTGCTGTGGGTGCGTAGGATGCCGTTGGAACCCTGCCCGCCGTGCTGGGACTGCCGACGGTAGTGGCCGACAGAGTTCTCCACTTGGTCCAGCAACATGGTCACCTTTTGCTCGGCGTCAGAGGCACGGGTCTCCAGCAAGTTGTTCTCTTGCTTGAGCTGCTCCAGTTCAGCACGGCTTCGGTCCGCAAACGCTGAGAGCTGTTGTTGCATGCTATTGTACTCGGATCGGGATTTGTCCTTGACCTCCTCAGCAGAGGCCAGATCCGCCTTGAGCTGAGCAACCTGGCGCTCCAAGTTGGCAATGGAGGCGTCCGTATCCTGGTTCAGGTCGGACACGGACTGGTTCAGTCTCGAGCGCTCCGTCTCCTGTCGACTAGCATCCAACTCCGACTGCATCTTAACACTCTGTGCCTTGTAGCGAGCAAGCTCATCCTTCATGCGCTTCAGCATCTTCTCAGTTCCCTTGACGTAATGGACGGCGGACTGGTAGTCATTCTCAAGTTGCTCCAACTTCTCCCGGTAGGCCCGGTCGCTCTCCTGCTCGCGCGTTTCAAAGAACACCTTCATTTCATCATGAGACTTGAGACTAGCAGACAGCTGCTGCTCCAATTCCCGAAGTCGGCCCTGCTCCGGTGTTCCGTATCGCGATCCCGGGGAGTCCAGATGAGGCGAGCGTCGGGTGTCGGACGCGCTGCTTCCACGCTCCCCAAGGAGATCCTTCAGAGCAGCATGCTGGATGGCCAGAGCACCTGCGTCGCGCTGGTTGTTCTCCAACTGACTCTTGAGCTCCCGGTTTTCCGTAGCCGCCGCCTGGCTCTCCTTCATGACTGTCTGAAGCTGGCGTCGGAGCTGCAAACCTTCGCGGCTAGCCTGTTCCTGGTAAGCCTCGAGGCCAGCGATCCGCTCTTCAGCACGGCGTAGCTTGTCGGTAGCTTGGTCAGCAGCAGCCTGGTTAGCCTTGGCCAACTCGTTGGCCCGGGCCACGTGAGACTCCAATGCCTCCACGCGCTGGTCCGCGACGGAGCGAGTAGTGTTCTCCAAGTCAAAGGATGATGCTCGCTCCAGGCCAGACAGGAAAGCAATCTTGTGGGTTTCCGCTTCCTTGGCATGGCTCTGAGCCAACTCCTCAGCGTCGCGCAAACGCCGGGTTGCATTGTCCAAGTCCGCCGTTCGCTCGTCGTATTCAGATCGCAATTGGAGCAGCTTCCGTTCGAGGCCTTCCCGAATCTCCCGTTCCTCATCCAATTGTTTCTCAATGAGCGTAGTTTTGCCGGCAGAAGCCGCCACGGCCTCCTTGAGGGTTCCCAGGTTGCCACCATAGTCCCTCAACCTAGTGGACGACTCGTCAAACTTGCGTGAAAGTTCCTCCTTATCAAACGTCATTTGTTTCAAGGCGGTTTCAGCCTGAGAGCGCAGCAATGATTCTTCTCTCGCAGCTGCTTCGGCCTGATAAAGTTCCGATCGCAAACTTTCCATTTCGAGCGAATTGGTCTGCACTTCCAACTCGGCGAGACGCTTCCGGGTTGCTTCGCTTGTTTCCTCGGCCAATTCTCTGGTTTGTTTCTCCTGATCCAGCTCAGTTGTCATGGTCTCCAGCTTGGCGCTTAGTTCCGCATGCGAAGCCAAGACCATGGCCAATCGTCGACTGATATCCGTTCCACGTTCCGAAATGGTGCCGTCAGAATCCTGAGCAGAGGCGTCCGGCTGTGGGGTGCCCCGTTGACTGCCGCCATGGGCGGCGAGTTTGGCGCGAGAATAAGCGGCTTCGTTGACTGCCAGATCCCTCTGGTGTTCAACCTCTGCAACGCGCTTCGATGCGATGGCCGCCTGTCGATCCACAGTGGCCTGCATCTTAGCTAGTTCCGCCCTCATCGCAAGGAAAGCCTCGATCAAGGGACGATCCTCGTCGGAAAACATGTCAGGGGTACGGTCGTTGACAGAGGTGCCAGATGGGCTGGGGTTGTATCCGGACTTCTTCGCCAGCGCCAACTCAGAGGCGTACCAAGCATTGCGGTTCTTTGCGGCTTCCAATTCCTTCGTCAGGACTTCCTGGTGCGGAGTCAGTTTGGGTGAGCGAGGCTCCTCGCCAATGCCAGTGGCGTTGCCAGTGCTAGTGCCAGTTTTGGAGTTGCGGAGACTGCGGGAATCAATGGAGCCGTCAACGCTTGCTTGACGACCAAGAATCGACTCGTCTGTGCTGTCGAGGGAAGTGCGCTGTCTCTGACGCAACGAGCGTTGCCGGGCCGGTGCACTAATCAAAGGGGCCGCCTCGCCAGCTTCCATAGCTTTAGCAGACATACGAGATTGCTGCTGAGCAGGTGTTCGGCGATCGCCTGGTGCGGGAGCAGCGGCTTCTTGCTCCTGAGAAACAGGTTTGAACTCCTTCGAGGTCTCTCTGGTTGCGGGCGGCTCTCCACCCCGCTCTGGGCCCATACTCCGCATGGCTTCCATCGGTGGACTTGCATATCCACGTTCCGGCTTGGTTGGTGTTTTGCTTCGTGGGTTCATGATCGGTTGCGGTGCGGAACCCCGAGGCCCTGGCGTGGGAGCCTGGCCAGGCGGAGGTGGTCCAGATGGCGCCTGTGCAATGGATGCCCTAGGGAGTCGCGATCCTGGACCTGGGCTGGGACCCTGCTCTGTAGGCCTGCCATTTGGGCTCGCCACCATTTCGCGCGACGGTACTGGGCCTCTTCTTGGTTGTGGCTGCACCTGCTGCTGTTGCTCTACAGGGGTATGGTTCTGCGCTTCCCGTGAGGTTCGACCAGTAGGGCTATTCTTGTCCGCACTCATTTTCCTCATGCCGGCAGCGGCAGCTCCGGGATTCTGAGCTTCGACGGGATAGCGGATCTTGCCAGTATCCAGCACGTACGCCATGCTGAGCTCAACGGGGTCCCTGGGTGCGGAGCTGGGCTCACCGGCCATGACAATGATTTGCTTTCCAAACGCCGTCATGCTGTGACCGGACCGCGGAGAGGGTGCGGGCCCCATGTTCTGGAACGAGTACCATCGCCGTGTGGAAATGCGAAAGGCCGCCAAATCACCCAGATCCATACCCTCATCGGTACGTCCACCAAAAACGTACATCACATCGCTCACCAACGCCGCTGCATGTCCCTCTCGAGGCGTGGGTATGAACCCGACACAGTCCAATTGGGACCACTGGTTCGCACGCGGATCATAACACCAGACGTCGTTGAACCATTGCATGCCATTTGTTCCACCAAACCTGCGCTCAGTGAGTCAGCAAAAACAATGTTCAGTTAAAGCGGTTGATCTAGTGAACCGAAAGAAGGGGTTGTTGTCTTATTCCATACAGGTATAGTCGATCATTGTAACTAACTATTGAGTGATTCGTTCTGGCGGGTGGTATTTCTCCTGGTGCAGGCCCTCCATCGTGACTATTTCGAATCAAGAACTCCCATTTGTTGTTCGGATTCTGAAGCTGATTGAGGTCAAATGCAGCCAAGTCGTTGAAAAAGAAGCCCTCAACCTGACCACCGAAGACGTATAGCCTGGAGCCTAGTATGTTCAATGTATGACCATAACGTCCAGAAGGCCGTGTGCCCGGAGGGATAGCGCGCGACCATTGTCGGGAAGCTAGAAAGTTGATTAGATATCTTCAATCGCAAGGGAAAGGGAGAAGCGTACAAGTATTTAAAAGATATAACGTGTCGTCTAGCGCGTCATTCTCGTCAATCTTGGTATCACCTCCGAATACGATGAATGCGTTTCCAACCAGCAGACTCGCATGGCCCACCCGGGGCCCCGGTCCTTCGGAGACGGTCACAACTGGAACGCAAGAAAGGTTTCCGCCGCTACTTTCCACCATCCAGAGGTCTCCCTTGACTGTCGCACCATCAATTAGACCACCCATCATGTAGATATCGCCCTCCTTTGAAGCCAATGAGTTGATTGCCGCGCCGTATCGTGGGAAGGGGTTCATTTGCGGCGAAGAAAAATTGATCCGCCGTTGGGACCAAGGATAGAGGGAGGAATTGGGGCTTGTGGCTGGAGGAGTAGTAACGGTTCCATTCATCGCTTGTGGTGGTGGTCGTTGTATCTGGATTGAGTGCGAATATCCCGTCAGCGACTGTGAATGTCCACCCAGTATAAGCATAGACTAACCTGTGATTCTGACTCTGCTCTTTGTCGCAATCGTTGCTGATCGGGACTGTTGGGGTTGACGGAATTCAGGGAATTGTTGTAGCTGCTGCTAGGCGTAGGAGTCTGCGACAAGCCATCGCGATCCTTGAGGGAACCATTGAGGGCTGGGGGCGATGCGGAGGGAGCCCCTTCGGAAGTATGAACATTTCTCGTCGCGGGAGGAAGGGCGGTACCCTGTTGCTGCTGGTTTTTCTTCGATTTGAAGAGAAAAGCCATCGTGGGAGGAGGGAAGGAGGTAATCTAATTATCGAATCGTAGACGGGTCGTTTCTGGACGCGGGACAGGGGCGGTCAATTAAGAGGTTTTAAAAAAGATATAATAAAAAGGCGCCAGGCTGCCGAAGAAGAGAAAAAAAACAACAACAACGACACAACGAAAAAGCACCCAAGAGAAGGGCAGAGAAGAAATGAAAGGAAAGGACAGATCCACGGCCGGGGTTGGGCGAGCAGCGATTGACCGCCGTGGCTGGAGATTCTCACGGGGTTTTTTGTCGTGGATGATAAGATGGAAAAGTGAAGGAAAAGAGAGAGCAAGGGGAAAGGGAAGGAAGAGAGAAGGAAAAAAGAACTAGATGAAAAAAGAAGCAAAAGTATCGACTAACCCAGCTAGGAATAAGAGAAGAAGAAGAAGAGGAAATGAACGGGAGAGAAGATGGCCTGTGGTGGTGGTAAGTGGACTCTCTCTCCCTTTTTCGGGGTCAAGCCAGACTCCGCGTGCGGGAGCACTATCGAGTCTCACACAGTAATAAGAGGACTGGTTATGGGCGCATTGAACCGTTTTGAAAGAGAATGGAATAGAATGAAAATAACATGGAAGAAGTACTACCTGTACAAGTAAGTACTCCGTACAGAGTAGAAGTGATCAAAAAACCACAGGAAGTCGGGGGGGTTGGGAGAAGAAGAAGAACAACAACAACAACAACAACAGAAGTCAAGAATAAAGAACAATAGAAGATTCCGGCGTTTCACACCGGCTGGGCAGCGGAACTGGTGTCAATTACCCTGGCATATGATATAAGGATGTTCTCTTTTTCTACAGAAAGAAAAAAATCAGGGGAAGTCCAGATGGAACCACGGGCCACTCGGTGTATTCCACCACCTCTACGGAGTATCCAGTAAAAACTGCAACGGTTTGATATTCCACTGAGAATAATCCAATTAGCCAGTTCTCTGTTCAATGCCACGTGAATTTCCATGTCTACGTACAGAATTAAGGACCATTCGCATGCAACAATGAATTACAGACGCATCAATTAGCAGCAACCTACCTGTCGCAATCACACCCACAGTACAAATCCATATATATCAACTTCCGAATGACTGGTCGATTCGCCGACCACTTGGCCTGAACTCGTGCTTTACAATCTTCTTTTAGCGGGCTTCAATGCCATTAAGTTTTTGGCTTGGTGCTGTCTTCAACAGTCATTGGGCTGACCATAAAAACCTTTTTTTTTTCTGATCCGGCCGATCCAGGGGTGCTATTATTATTCCACCATGACCGGTACATGCTCGGTCTGATACCCGACCATGTAGTTACGGAGTACAAGAATGTATATGCACATACGTCCCGGCGGCTAGGGATGCCATGCAAGCGAAGGATCTTCATTTTCTTTATTGTTTCCAACCATTTAGAATGGAGAAAAAGAAATATACAATGTTCGGCGAATCGCCTACATCACGCAGTCACCGTGATGTGACAGAGGTGCAGTTGTACACCAATGCAGATACAATTACTGTGCATTTCCATTGATCATTACAAGTAATTCGCCCAGGTAATACATAGTATTGTTTACTCGTATGATACAAGCAAGTCTAAGACACATTTCGATTAATTGGACAGTGCACTTACTCCGAGTCTACTTGTACTCCCTACTCTTTGGGTGACACCAAATCACTCGAAGTAGTATAGCGTGTCTGTTTAGGTTTAGCGTCTCTTTTCCGCTTGGCATCGCTGTGCGTGCTCTATGAAGTCGCCCTCCATCACTGCTCAACTTCAACCAAATTTTTGCTGTTTTTCCTTTCACCTTTCGCCCCTGTCGCCTATGATTTTGGTGAGGCATTCTGCTATTGAACTTCTGCCTATTCCCCTCATTGTGCCACCTGTCACGAGCTCGGCTAGGATAATGGAACATCCAACTCATGGGTTCTACCTAGGTAGCTATCGACGAGAATATTCGACATAAGGAAGAAAGAAGATAACGCTGCAATCATCAACAAGGCAAACAACCCTGCTTCGCATGATAGCCAGCAAACGAGACCGGGCCGTCACACCACCCCCTTTTTGTTGAATGCAGTCATAATCACTTGGACCAGTAGCTCAGTGGTATGGATACTGAGCCTGGCTAACCTGCCGGTGCGCACATCACCAGGCAGTTTGTAGGTTCGAATCCTGTCTGGCCCTCCACCCACAAATCTTGTCTATACCAAGGATCTATCTTTCGAAGGTTCCCCCCCGAGCCTGGGCGGAGTTTTTTCCCCTGTGGAAAAACAGGTGAATGCCGGATAGATTCCCTATACCAAGAGGTCTCACCTTTACTAAGCATACTACTGCGCGGGAGGTACTTCCTGTACATAAGTAGCCTCAGGCTCTTATCAGGCAGTTCCTGGGAAGGGTAGTAAGAATAATTTGATGCCTTTCGGCATAGTTAACAAATTCGTACGTGAGATGGGATCCATGGTTGTCGGGGAGTAGTCGATAATTTCCAGTCTAATTCATATTAGTTAGATTGATGGATAAATAGATTGGTTGATAGATAGATTGATAAACTCACCTGTCGCTTCCTTGAATTCTCATGGAAGTGTTGGATCCATGCGCCAGTTTGATGGTAGATCAGCATGTGTATACCAATTTTCCTATGGCCTTTCCCACGCGCAGTAAAGAGAAGCACGGGAGCACTCATGAGTATCATATTCTATAGCAACCTATTCCGATATCCCGCAACCGTTACGACCTATAATATGTTCTTGTTGGAGTCGGGTACGGTGTGCTAGTATGAAGTTCAGGGCGAATATATATTATGAACAGAAAGCCCATGAAAGCCACTCCAAACCTACACATGCAAGAGGCTGTCCCTATATTCTTGCTTTTTCATTACACTACTAACTCAAAAAAGTTACTATAGACGCTAAAATAATCCAACTAAGTTTCCAATGGCTATTCACTGCCAAACAGCCGGAGCCGAACCTTGCATGCAACACGAGCAACTCCACAAACCACTCTCAAACAATTCGGATCCAGGACATCGTTCGATCTGAAACATTGATCTGGGGAAAATTTTAACTTGCATAAGCGATCTGTCCGCTGCGCGTTTGTTTCACCGGAAACGAACGATGATAGCTGTAAACACGGAAGACATAGAAATTCATTCCCGCTTCGATATGAGACATTCCAGGGAACCTTCCAGAGTTTAATTTACTAACATAACCAACTAGCAGGTATTATCGAATTACATGATAAAAACTCGTGGCCCAGGAAGGAGCGCCGGCCAATTAACATCCACATCCCTTGCCCAAATCCTTTTCAAAAGCTCCAACCCCTTCAATATATTCCCAAACCCATTACGATTATATTGCTTCAACAAGAACTGCTCGAAAAACTGCTGGTCCTCTGGCGAACAGCTCTCAGACGCTGCGATAAAGGACGGCCAGATCAAGGAGTGGTCACCGGGAAATCCCTCGGGGAAAGGTTCAAGGCTGGCTCGAAATCTTGTGACCACATCTGCCGATGATAGTTCGTTACCCGGGGGTTTGCTAAGAAGAACACGCTGTAGATATATATCGTAGGCTTGCTGCCTTAAACTGGCTATTAGATCTATCATGTACTGTTTTTCTGGGTGAAAGCGCGAGCTATAGTAGAGGCAGTCGAAGCTATGCGGGGCTTGAGAGAGGATCGTGGATACGCCAGTTTGTTGGCTGATAAAAGGTGCAGCATAAACTCGCATCCTAAGATAATCAGTCACATCATGAATGGAATGGTATGGATCTATGGCCCTACTTGTGAATTTGCCGCAGCGCAAACTCAGACAACTCATCTGGCCCAAGCCCATCTTCACCACCAACAATATCGAGAGCGGACTGGAGAAGATGGAAAAGAATCGGAAAGTCCGAACACCCAGTGACCATAACTGCAACAAGCAGGACAATGATGGACAGGATGACTAGTCGTTTCGTTTGGTGGTCATATTGATCTAGACCCTTCCGGTTTTGAAGCTCACGGATTGCCTCGAAGTAGAGAGTGCTTGGTCTGGCAAGACGTTGATTCTGAACTTGGACTCGGCCACCGGATTTGCGGGAAAGGTGGAAAGAGGAAACGGTCAGCACGGCCTTCATGACCAGTTTGTCCCCCCAGGCTAGAGGGAGAACCAGATGGCGCCATCCATTGTGGTTGTCGTCAATTACGACCATTTCGGGGGCAATGTTGTCCGAGACTGATAGGTTCAGCACGAGTAGCTAGGACTTAGTGATGCATACATACAATATTTCACAAGGAATCGTTCCGATCCTTCCGAGTTCCCCCAGGCGAGCGCAGGTTGCAAACTATCAGGTCTTGGCTGGCCGTGAGCAGCGCCATAATCCGTTTCACTCCTAGATAATTCTATCGATGCGCCTCTATCAATATAGGCCGCGCTGGACATCAACGAACCAGAAGAATCGAGAGCATCTGAAGCCTCAGGATACTCCATTGGCGCTCTCCCCTTCAGACGCTCAGACCCATCGCAGAATCTATACCTTACCCCAAATCCACTACACAGAATGCCTTTAGATACACATTTCCCACACGACGGCTGCGTCCTGTCACAGTGGATTCGCCGCTGTGAGCATTGATAACAGCCTGAGCGGGGAATGTCAGTAAAAATTCTTCCACCTATTCTCCATCTTTCTTCTCGGGACGCGCCTTTAGTCTTTGGCACATATGGCCGTTTTCGTCGGGTCATTTCAAGATAGACACCAAATCTTATTAATCGTTATAGCTTGGAGGATAATGGAGAGGATTCAAAAGTGCAATAAGTTAATTAGAGGAGCTTCTTATCTTATCTTGGTATCGCATCTCCGCAGAATGTACGTTTGAGGTTTAGTGTAACGGGGCTAATTTGGGGATTATTCCTGAATAGAAAAGTGGATGCTATGCTAGCCCTAACAGATTATACTAGTTGCGACAGTCAAAGAGCACATAAGTATGTAGGATATAAATGGCAATGGAAATTCAATAAAGCCACGCAAAAATAGAGCTATTGAACATGAATAGAATCAGATTACTGCATAACCCTCTCCCAAATCCCATCTACATCCTCATCCGGACTAATATTATCAACAATACCGAGCGCCGTCGTAGGCTTTTTATACCCTAGTAGCTCAAGCATTTTTGGACTCATTCCACGTACTTTACTCCGCGGAATTGCAAGAAACTGGTTCTCCTCGGTGCGGAGATGGCCCCGGGAGAAGAACAAACCGTGCATCGTGCGGACGGAACCCGGAACCGAATTGTGTCCGCCGCCGTGATAGGCAGAGGCAAGGAAGATTAAGGCTGAGCCAGGTGACATTTCTTGTAGTTGTTAACTATATGTCGAGTTGAGCAATAGAAGGATAGAAGGCTTACCTGCAAAACAAACCTCAGCAGAGTTCGCCCACCGGTCATCGTCCCATTTATGACTCCCCGGCACAAACATCGTAGCCCCATTTTCCCTAGTAACTTCGCATCCGGCAATCAAGCAACCAAATTGACTGGATTGTTGGAAGCTCCACGGCTGAAAGGGGTTTCGGGAATGACGAATATTATGGACACCGTCGTCCCGATGCAGCAGTTGTCGAGGTGCCCCGTACCCGATATTCATCGACACACTCAGGCTCAATAATGGATCGATTATATTAGGCTCCGCGAAACCCTCCCGCAACAGCGTAAAGTCTTCTCGCAAAATCCGCTGTCGCAGGGCCTCTAGCATGGGGTGCTCGCAGATCTGAGCGATTGTCTGAGATTTTCCCACCAAGCCGGGAACGAGGAAGGTCTGCGCTGGAATGGATGGGAAGGCGTCGCCGTTGACCTTCTTGTTTTCCAGGTGTCGACGAGGCCTGTTACTCCAAGGTTCTAGTTCATTTTCAATGGCAGCTAGTTCGTCTGGAGAGACAAGATCTTTGAGGATCACGCCGCCATCACGCTCGAGGATGCTGAGAATGTACTCTATCGGGTGGGTGGCTGGGATAGTTGTGATTGTAGATTTGGGGCAATATGAGGGATCAATTGGAGGGGGTGTGGGAAGGGGAATTCGTGCCATTTTGTAAAGAAGCAGCCTTAGATGTGGGATTTGGTGGCTTAGTATTTCGGAGAGGAAACTGTATCCTTATACTCACGCTTGACTCAGATGCAGCCTTGTTAAGAATTATCGGGGCACACAAGGCAGGAATGGAACGAGGCGTCTCTAGTCGATAACCATTTCATCCGATGGTATTTGAATGATTTCGGCCGCCCCGCATTGTATCGTCATATCAGGATAAACGGGAACGGGCCGGGACAGCCATGATGCTGGAAAAGGAAATCCATCCCATGAAATTAGTCTTTTCAATAAAGATAGCGGGGGTGATTTTGCACATGACGCATGTGTTGGAGATACCGATGCGGGATTTGCGTTGCGTCGCATCCCTCTTTCCCGAACAGGTAACCAAAATGAGAGCACTTTGCATATCCGATGACAGGGATCGGAAGTAAACCTAATTCAGCATAAAGATACTATTCCTATCGGGTTATCTTTTGCGTCCAATGGCCTTCCTCTATTATAGAGAACTGTATTCGATGGCTCTGATAGGTTGCATGGTGGCAGTTGTTCTACCTGATGGAGATTCGATCCGATCGAGGCCAATGTAATCACCATTGCACTTCATGAGTACGATCAAGATATATAAGGACAGTCCTATCCTGGACGAAATCCTCATGTTTACAACCCTTACCTCATAACCAGAACATCCTCGCAGAATTCGACTTCCAAAGCAGACATGGCACCTGCAGCACTCGTCGCGCCTCCAGCCCCTCCAAGAGTGGTTGGACCAGAAACGAGGAGAATCACCCGTCCCACCAACAAGATTCCCAAATTCTTAATTGATGAAGCATGTATCACAAACAAAGAGTCCTTCGACCCGGAAAAGCATGTCAACTTCCAGCCTCCGAGCAAGATCTATACCATGAAGGAGATTGGCCTTGAAGGACATGGAATTTCTCCCAATGCAGTCTCAGAGCCCTTTCCCCTATTTACTGAGGGAGCTATCAAGCAGATCCGAGCAGAGGTCTTTAGTGAATCTGTGCTCGAGTCGTGCCAGTACTCTTCCACTTTCGTCAAGAACATGGTGAGAGGCATGGGTCCTGTGTAAGTAAGTGGCTCACTTTAGGAGATTTAACCTGTTAACTGTTTTCTGAAGGCGAGCTCCGTTCACTTATGATGCTTGGTATTGTCCAGAAGTCCTTGCAAGAATCTCAGAAGTTGCAGGGATCGAATTAGTTCCGGTATTTGATTTTGATATTGGTAATGTCAACATCTCGGTCAACGATCCGAGCAGCACAAAAGGCCCAGACGGTTCAAAGTGCGATAACCTGTCCGCTTTTGCGTGGCACTACGACAGCTTTCCATTTGTTTGCGTGACAATGCTGTCCGATTGCACCGAAATGATTGGCGGAGAAACTATGATAAAAAATGGAAACGGAGAGACTATGAAAGTGCGTGGACCAACAATGGTATGTTTCTTCTTATCTTTCTGAAAACTCCTTGGCTTACTGATATTGTACAGGGCACAGCGGTGGTCATGCAAGGCCGGTATATCGAACATCAAGCCTTGAAAGCCCTCGGAGGTCGCGAACGCATCAGCATGGTGACCGCCTTCCGGCCAAAGTCACCATTTGTCAAAGACGAGATCATCTTGACTGGTGTCCGTGGAACAAGCGATCTGTCGGAGCTCTACAGCCAGTATTCTATGTACCGATTAGAGGTCCTTGAAGAGCGTATTCGTGCTCATATGAAGAAAGAACGGAAGCGGGAGGATGCCAAACGTCCGTTCGACGTTGACAATACAAAGAGGTTTCTGATGGAGCAGAAGGAGTTCCTGGAGTCCATGCTAGAGGAGATTGTGTAATATAGTGATAGCGAGAGCGATGAAGTATGACGGTGGTAGTAGTATTTGATTCTAAACATCTCTTGCATTTCGCTTTTGAACAATTAGTTTTTACAAATTCATTCTTCACAGTATCGAAGCAACACATACAAAATTCTTTCCATATGAACTCCACTATATCGCCAACGCCACCGCACAAGGAAATGATGAAGATCTTCTTGCAGGGGGTATAATTCGGACACGATAATTGCCTGTCAAGGTCAGACTTTCCACGGACACATATTACCGTCATCAGAAACTGCTATACAAAACTCCCTCTCGAAGAGATCTAGAAACTTTTAGCATATGTCAAAGCTATTGCAAGGAACCACGTGCGAGTCTACATAGCCGCAGACAAATTTGGGGTTATCCCATTCAAGGCTTACGCTGCGAAGAAAATCGCTGACAAGATCAGCGCAAATTGGCGATTTACAGTATTTCTCGAAGTAATGAGCTCAGTAACACTGCACGATCCAGGTTTTTGAGACATTATCACCGATATCAAGTCAAAGAACCTCACCGACATGAAACGAGGACCGGTTCTTCGACTTACAAAAGACTTTGCGATTCTTTCAAGAGTGTTGGAGAAAAGCATGGTGAAAGAACTGGAAGCAGAGAGAGAGAGGAAATTGTGCAACCTGGAATTTTGGACAAGATTTACCAGAAACCGAATTGTTATGATTGCTGCGAATCTTGCTTTGCGTTGTTCAATGTGAAGATGTGTGAGGGGGAGTACCAACGCGGTGTTTTCCGTTGTGGTGAGTGTCAAACACGAAGGTGATCTTATAGATCTGGAATGTGAATGTACATTTTTAGATTACTATACCATGGCCGAGAACATAAATCGAAGGTAGTTTGGAGCAAGAAACATCATCGGGACCTTAACCACAGGACTATCGTAAAGAAAACAGCGATTTTGAATCCCAACATTATTAAATATACCAGATTGCAGTGCACGCCCCCGACAGGAAAGGATGCAATGGGCCTCCTTTTTGGCAGACGAACTCTGTCCATTTGGACAGGCCACTATATGATACAAACTCCCAACTTGACCGCCGCCCCTCTAGGAGAGTACATGGCGATTTGTTAAACACCACCCGAAGTAAATTTACCAGCATAGAGATATTAATTAGGATGTATAGTATAACAGGGGGATCGGGAAATACCCTTCTCCAAACTGATCGTGTATGTATTGGGTTGAAAGGCAGAGTCTCTTAGTTGCTTTTGACGGTTTTGCTTGGTCTGGCCTGGATTACAGGGCGAGAAAACATTTCGTTTAGTAATGATCAGCTTGTTGCCAATTTTGACAAAACAATGCGTGTCTATACCCCTGTCACTGGTATTAGCCATTTCACCTATGCCACCTCTTCAAATGTGATGTACGATGTAAGTCCGCCAATCTCTCATTCCTGAGCAATAAAGATGGCTAGGGGGCTTCTCTGCGAGCTAGTAATAGTAACTACTTTCATGGCATATTACTCCATTATGTACTCCGTACGGAGTAAAAACTTGTAACTACATAGTTAGAATTGTCGTTGTTGTAGATGCATCTGACGTAATCACCCATACTGTTCCCGTGACCGTGCCAAGACATCGCGCCAAAGCTCCATGGAGAACATCTTCGCAACGATCAAACCGTTAAGTACCATTTCTCTTCCGTCTGCAGCCTTTTCTTAAGCTGCAGGATTTTGGACGAGGCCTGTCAATTGCTTGAAGTCGTTGGAAGTCCTGCCATCGCTGGGTTTGCGCTTTGGAATCTTGCTAGTCCTTGGCAGTGGCACCCACTGCGCAACCGTCTTCAGTCGCTGAGCCGCTCCGGTTTAGGCTTGTCAATCCAGTGCCTCTTCAGTGCGCGCTCGATAAGCTGACATGGTTGAGAGCCGATAGTGTCGATCAAGTGAGTATACAACTTATTACTTCATTTCTAAATGCTCACTTCGCTAATCCACTGTGTTCAGATTTGGTAAACTCGCTCACTCATTTTTCGACGGTCTCGAAATCCTTAGTCTCTCCCTCCCACGATGATTATCTGCCCGTCATGAAAGATCCAACTATCGATATGGACAACCAGAACAATACCATGTTGAAACGACAGTCGCCCAACGTGCAGGCGGAACCGCGCAGGAACCCCAACAAGACGGTTCGAGTCGCTTTCGGCCCCGACATCGAGACGCACATCCCTCCTCACGACAAGTCTCCCGCACCAAATCACCATCGGTCTTTTACCACATTCGACCAGAAGTTTTCTGTGACCTCGCCATCATCGGGGCGACCGACCAGCTCGGGCGGTGACAGCGTAGCGTTGGTGACGGAGGAGCGACCTCGGTTAACATCGGATGTTGCATCGGATAGTGGACGACCGACTGCGGCCCTGAAACGGGCCAGAAGTGATTATGGACCACGAGTGGAATTTGACAAGACTCTTTTTGGGGATGACGATGAGGATGATTTTGCCATGAGACATGGTTGGCAGGAGGAATACACCTCGAGTGAATACCTCAAGGTCCTTCATTCGGTAAGCAGAATGTTCTGGCTGTTGGATGCTGCTACATTATAGCATACCGTTGATTGCTAACCCACGTGTTTCACCAGAACTTTTACATGTATTTCACGGAGAAGCGTCACGAAACGAACGGTATCCCAAGGGATCCTGTTGGAAGTTGGCCAAGTCAGGACTGGCGTATGAAAGATCGCCTGAAAACGGTTTCCGCCGCGCTCGCCATATGCCTGAACATCGGTGTTGATCCTCCCGATGTCGTCAAGACAAACCCAACTGCAAAGCTCGAGTGCTGGGTCGACCCTAACCCAACCGCAACTACCGGGGGTGGGCAAAACAAGATCATGGAGCAGATTGGGAAGAAGTTGCAGGAGCAGTATGAAACCCTGAGTTTGAGAACGAGGTACAAGCAGTACCTCGACCCGTCCGTAGACGAGACAAAGAAATTCTGCATACACCTTCGCCGTAATGCCAAAGATGAGAGAGTTCTCTTCCATTACAATGGTCATGGAGTCCCGCTGCCGACTCAGTCGGGCGAGATTTGGGTTTTCAACAAGAACTACACTCAATATATCCCCGTCTCATTGTACGACTTGCAGTCCTGGCTCGCAGGTCCCAGTCTCTTCGTTTTCGACGTCTCGCGCGCGGGCAACATCGTCCATAACTTTCACGCGTTTGTCGACAAACACGAGAAGGAAAATATTGAGGCAAAAAAACGGGACCCTAGCTCCCTCATCCAGAACTATGGAGATTGCATACTTCTGGCCGCATGCCAGAAAAACGAGTCTCTTCCGACAGACCCAGATCTACCGGCCGACCTGTTCACCAGCTGTTTGACCACACCCATCGAGATTGCTCTCCGGTACTTTATCCTTCAGAACCCGCTAGAGACAAACATCTCCATTGATGAGTTCGCAATTCCTGGTCGTTTGCAAGATCGGCGCAGCCCACTTGGAGAATTGAACTGGATCTTCACTGCCATTACGGACACAATTGCATGGAACACTTTATCGCGACCCTTGTTCAAGAAACTTTTCCGACAGGACCTGATGGTTGCTGCTCTTTTCCGGAACTTCTTGCTCAGTGAGCGCATTATGCGCACGTATAAGTGTCATCCGATATCTTCTCCAGAGCTTCCAGAGACTCACCACCACCCGCTGTGGAAGAGCTGGGATCTGGCAGTTGAGATGGTTCTGGCACAGCTCCCTGCGCTCATTGAACATGAAGAGGGCCGGCGGCATTATGAGTACCAGCATTCTTTTTTCTTTGCTGAGCAACTCACAGCGTTCGAGGTTTACCTTTCCTCTGGACCCACTGAAAAGAGCCCACCAGACCAGCTGCCAATTGTTCTGCAGGTCCTCCTGAGTCAGGCACATCGGCTGCGAGCGTTGATTCTACTCAGTAAGTTCCTTGATTTGGGGCCCTGGGCCGTCCATCTCGCTCTGAGCATTGGTATCTTCCCGTATGTCGTCAAGTTGCTGCAGTCGGCCGCTCAGGAGCTAAAACCTGTCATGGTGTTCATCTGGGCCCGAATCATGGCAGTCGACCATACTGTCCAGAATGATCTACTAAAGGACAATGGCATCCACTACTTCATCAACATCCTTAACCCCTCGTCTCCGATTCCTGTGGGCAACGCTAGTGAACACCGCGCTATGTGTGCCTTCATTGTCTCGATTTTCTGTAAAAATTACCCTCAGGGCCAGAACGTTTGCCTATCAGCAGAGCTTTTCGATTCATGCTTGAGGCATTTAACAGACGTCGAGAATCCTCTCTTGCGTCAATGGTCGTGTCTTTGCCTGAGCATGCTCTGGTGTGACTTCCCCGAGGCCAAATGGGCTGGCATTCGTTGCGCGGCCCCGGCCAGACTTTGCGAATTGAACATTGACCCTGTGCCAGAGGTGCGGGCTGCGATGTTGCACGCACTGACAACATTCCTGGGCATTCCAGACCTGACGGACCAGGTGGCGCAGATTGAGGAGTCGTTGGCTATGACAGTGCTACCAATGGCTTCGGATGGTAGTGTCCTTGTGCGGAAGGAGCTGCTTGTCTACTTTTCGACTTTTGCCAAACGGTATCAGAACAAGTTTATTGTTGCTGCATATGAGGAACTCCAAGAGGAGAAGCAATCGCTTCTCGACAAGCTCGCGAGTGAGACGCCCCGGGATTTCCCTTTCGATGATGCGCAGAACGGGTCTGCAGATTCAAGCACCAAATTCCATTCTCTATCCCGCAATACTACATTTGGCACAATTTGGAAGCAGCTTCTCATTCTTTCTGTTGATCCACACCCTGATATCGCACAGGATGCTGGCGCGATCGTGGACTACATCCATGTCACACTGCTCCAATCTCCTATGGCATCAGTGACCGATAGGATCCGCAGAGAGATTATGGATATCACATCTCGTGTGCCACAGAGACTACCCATTCGTGAAAGACCCGAATCGAGGAAGGTCGTACCCCCTCCCACGCCTCCCTCGCAAGCACAAACAAAACAGGAAGGGTATCTCTCACTGGGCATGAGGCGGACAGCAAGTGTCGCTGCGTCACTGAAAAATCTTGCCTTCGGTGGTGCGTCTGGCTCAGAGCTGGCTTCCCAACCCCCAACATCGCCTTCGATGTCGAACCGCATGCCCATTACCCCCCGTGGGCGCGCTCCTCCAGAATGGACCCGACCCCCAGAGGTCAACGACCATGTCGCTCCGGCGACTGCATACCACCAGGCGCCTACCCCCACATCTCGTGGATTTGAGCAGAGGGATACGTCTGTGCTCCCAACGATTCCACTGTTGAGTAGATTTTTGGATTGGTCTACGGAGTACTTCCGGGAACCCCAGATGAAGCCCAATGAACCCGATGAGCCGGGTAGTGCAGATTACAACGAGCGATTATGGCGACGGAGTCGCAACGAAAAGATTATCACAGAGACCCAGCCCCTTAAACCCAAGGCTGGCAGCAGTCGATGGGATAATTCGTTGTCCCTTCTGTCGAATAGCAGTCAGCCGATGAAAATGTGCTTCCATCAGTTCGAAGATCATCTCGCGGTTGCTGATGATCGGGATACCATCGCGTAAGTTAAAATAACACTGAATACCATCTTGGCTTTGGGCTAACAATCGTCTAGAATCTGGGATTGGCAGAGCCATAAGCGTCTCAATCGGTTTTCGAACGGGAACCCACCGGGCTCAAAGATCAATGAAGTCCGGTACATCAATGAAGACGACCAGGCGCTCTTAATGACGGGCTCTTCCGATGGTGTTCTCAAGGTTTTTAGAAACTATGAGTCTGCCAAAGATGCCGAAATTGTCACTGCTTTCAGGGCTCTTCCAGAGCTTCTCCCCAGTACTAGAAATGCGGGACTTGTTCTTGACTGGCAACAAGGACAAGGAAAGGCGCTTGTTGCAGGTGATGTCAAGGTTATCAGAGTGTGGAACGCAGCCACCGAAGTCTGCAGCAACGTATGTACCGTATCGACCTTACCGATAAGACAAGCTATCTAACATTTTACAGGACATCCCTGCACGGTCTGGATCATGCATTACTTCTTTGACATCTGATCAAGTTGCCGGCAATATATTTGTGGCCGGATTTGGTGATGGTGCTGTCCGTGTCTTCGACCAACGTCTGAAGCCAACAACGTCCATGGTCAAGGTTTGGCGTGAACACAAGCAGTGGATTACAAATGTCCACATGCAACGAGGCGGTCTTAGAGAGCTGGTTTCTGGTAGCCGAAACGGCGAAATCAGACTCTGGGATCTTCGAATGGACGATCCGATTTCGACAACATGTGCTACCTCAGACACCCTTCGTACTTTGAGTGTTCATGAGCATGCCCCGGTGTTCAGCGTGTAAGTTTCACTGGTATTTACTTTTGGTTGTGCAGATAGTTAACAAATTTGGCTACAGGGGCACCAACCGTCATGAAGTCAGGACGTTCAACGTGGATGGCAGCCATCTGTCCACTTACGAGCCCTATACGAGCTTCCTCCACCACAACCGTTCTTCTCCTATCGCCAACACTGCGTTCCACCCGCACCGTACCATACTCGCCTGCGCAGCGCTTAATGATAATCACATCAACCTTGTCAATTGTTAGATGAGGTATCATTCTGCTTTTCATTTCTTTATTTGATGATCCGTACATACCATTTGCACGGCGTTCTGGGTTATGATGATGTCTTTTTCTCTTTTGCTTTTGTGTAAGTCTTCCTCTTTCTTTTTCTTACTTAGATGGGATTAGGGATGTTTGGCGTAGGATGGTAGTAATGACGGATGGATGGATTAATGGCAGATTATTCACGTGAATTTGTATTCGTGTTTCTGGGCTTCTTAGAACTGTACATAGACTGGGATTCTCCTTTCATCCATTACTATCTATGCTTAACCACTCCATGACACCTGAATAAACGGACATAGATGGTCAAGAACCCGTGTATAAGAACGCTTTTGACAAACTCAATCCGATACTGCACCAACAACTAACCTTCTTAAAGCAATAAACCTAGGTAATGATCCCATGGTTAACTCACTATAGGGCCTGGTATGATATTTCATCTTAAAGAATCTCGTCACACCACCCGCACCAGGTACCCCAATCCTCTCTTGATCAACAAGCCTAGTGAGAACCGGTGTCGCAAACTTTCTGGAAAGAAGATGCACAACGGTCTCGTCCTTGGTGAGCCCAACAATATGCTCAGCCACAGCATCCACAACCGCATCCATCAAAGAGCCCTTCGGCAACAATTCCCCCCTGTCGTTTAACAATAACAATTATGGCATCCTGAACCGACTGAATGGATTACTGAGTCTCCCAGTGTTCCTCCGCCCAGAGCTCCTACTTAATAACATAATTCATGACACTGGACATTTGGAGGAACATCGCAGCGCAGTAGACTTTGACGTGGTCGCTGCCTGTATTTGCTTGGTAGTCTTGCGTGTATAAATACGAAATCACCCACTCCATGATTCCTGGGTTGTGTGGGAAGAATATATCGACATTATTTGTAGACTCCTGGTCCTGGTCCTGGTCCTCGATATTTAGCTGATATCCAGCGGCCCTTCGACGGCGCAGCAGAGGAGATGGTCCCTAGGGATATTTTCAATATTATTGTCGATTGACATTGTGGGTCTTGTTAGCTTCAGCGAACTATTTGTATTTGTCGATGTAGTCGGAGCACTGCCATAGACTTGAGAGAATGCGCAAGATGACAGTTTAACGATTTGCCTAATTTATCGATGTGCTTCCTGCAAGCTGTTTTGCGTGACTGACTATGGCACAGCAGGAACCCTAATTGATCATAACATAACTCCCCCTGATAACATATTTTGAGGTCTTCGTAAACGGTATCCGGTTGTCCAGGTTGGACGCATGGATTCCTTTTTTATAGCTATAACAACCGATATATTCAAAATATCACAATGTCTCTTGTATAACAAACCTCTACAGCCAACATACCTTTTCTATCACATTTCGATATCTATATTTTACAGCATGCCCTCAGGTCAATTGAACACCTGAATCACGGAGGGAATGTGGGCCCTACCCACATCCTCCAACGACTCACTGAGCGAATGAACGACTACGGAGATCCAAGAGACGAATAAATACATGCAGCTCAAGAACTTCGACTCCTCAGCATAGATTCAAACGAGACACCTTGCCTCACCAAAACGGCACTTTTCTCCTTCCTTCCTTCAAACCCAGGGAATCCTCTCCATTCCTAACAGAAGCAAGATCCATCCTATTGAGGGTGTGCGATACCTTTCACAAGCACTGTTCTCGCACATGCAACTTCCAGAGTCCTTAAGCCTGGAGAAATCCCTCCACGCGCTAACATAGACCAACTACGATAAAGCGCACTATATCAACCATGACGGAAACCTCTGCCGCGGATGTACACCAGACCACAGGCGGCTACTATACCACAGTCTAGCAACAACTTGAGACAACGAAAATCTTCGTTTTGGCCCTGAGGACTGGGGGAAATAAGCAGAGTGTAGGATCTTCGATGAACTCGCGGAGTACCGCCGCGCAAATGCGGGAACTAACTGCGACGAGGATGGTGATGAGATGTATCTTGAAATCGTCAAAGTGGTATTTTCGACACAGCCGGGGATTTCGGAGGCACTAAAGCCGGTATTCAGGGGTGAGTTTCAAGTGCTGGCTAAGGAGTTACATGGCAATTTCGTCTGGCTAAACAAATTGGCTTTTCCACCGGAAAGGCTTCGTGGACTGATCAAGTTGCTTTTGGTTATGCAGCTTGGGGATTGTGGGATGCTTCCGGATGAGCAGGTTTCTGAGTTTGAATGTGTTGCGGGGTGCAATGTCAGGTTGTTCCAGAGGGTGCCTGGTGTAGGGATTACTTGGCCAATGTTTGATAATGCTGTTAAAACAGTAGTATGCTGTCCTTCTCTTCCAATGAAACAGCGCTAACTAGCTCTAGCCATTACCATTTGGCTCTGTCTATGTTATCGCATCAAACCATTATCAGAACACCGGAGCATACTACAACTTCAAAAATGTCATCCCCAAGCCAGGCAACACCCTCACCCACCCAAAACTCACCCAACTGGTCGTCGTTTTCTCTACGATAATATCGCTTGGGATGAGCTACAGTTATTCTATCACTACAGCTCAAGGGTGAACCGGTTACAGCCGCTAACCTTGCCAATGCCATTGTAACCACAGAAGGCTTCATTTCTCCTGGAATCTTGAATGATACTACACGAGTACAACGGCGCAAGTCGAACCAAAGAGGCCACCTTCGGTGTTTTTAACACCAGCAACGCTCATTACGATACCGAGACCCAGCCAAAGAGACAGGTAGACTGGAATTATACATTTCTTTCCAATGGAGTTCCGTACATGGTATTTTCTGGGGAACTGTTAGGAAACCCAGCTAGGAGATGATTGCGGGGAAGCTTTGATGTGGTGAAAGAGATGTGATGTGGCGGTGGTGTTCTCTAGAGATATTGGAAAAGCGGCATCAGTGCAGTGTGTGGATGGGAGGGAAGGTGCCTACGAAGCAACGGAATGGAGAGGAAATTGGAGCTTGCAGGTTGAAGTGAAGGGGTTAAAATATGGTGTTATGTGTGATTATATGTTAGTACATTCACATTCTTAATGAACAGTTTGAGACCCAAAACACATATCAAATCACATCGTCCGTGAACTATTCCTCCCACTGAGCCGGTTTCTCCCGAATAAGCCCCTTCAATCCCGCTTAGAGTAAAGAAGAAAAAAATAGATCCAGACATAGTGCCCGAAGTACAGAAGATGGACCTGGCAGGACCAGACTAGGGCAAGCAAGGCGACTGCGGCCAAGTGGAAGGTTGATCGAGAACCGCAGGAGCTCGTAAGTTTAATTGCATTATCTTGATTTAGAACCTCCTAACGGGAACTCGGGATAGGGTCCGGCTTGAACATTCAGAAGACTATAATACTACTTCCAACCTTGAGCAGAAATATAATGCCATCATTCTATTCATAAAGATATGTCTATAATAAAATAAAAAACAATTCCAAAAGTCATCGCAAGAAGTCATGTTCAGCAAAAAGTTAAAAACAGAATAAACAAGAGGGTATCTATGCCATGCTCTGGTAAGAAAAAAAAATAAACAATCTCCAGCCATACTATTCCAATCGAGACCAAAAAAAATACTACAGTTCAGGCCTGCGGTGCCGTATCAAAATAAACTTCTTCTCCGGTTTTTCTGCACGACGCGGCTGGACTGCACGCCGGTTGATAAGAGGGTCAATCTCAAAGTAGCTGCGGCGTCCGGTATTGGCTTTGTCGCAATAGCGAGAATTGACATATCGGAATTTTGTAAAGGGATCAGGATCCGATAGTCCCATGTCGCGCTCATGAAGATAATCGAAAAGGTTCGCAATGACACCCCCCAATAGTAGTGTTGCTTGCTTCGCCATAATGCAGTCCTGCTCAGAATCTTTTGAGAAACTGTAATCACGAGCGACTCCCTCAATTTTCATTTGAAGTGGTTTTCCCTTGCGCGAGTCCTCTCTGTGAAACCAATTGTTTGCCTCTTCCAGCCTCGCTTGAACAGCCATAACGGGTCTTCCAGACGACAAGAGCTCAGGTAAAAGCGCATTTGAAGGCGGGTATGGAAGTCCTGGGGGAGGTTTCAGAGCTCTTCCGGCGGCTGTGGACATGCTCTTCGGTTTGTGCCTAGTATCCACTACTTCTGCCTGTTAGCCTAAATTCTGGGTTTAGACCATTTATAGCTTACCAGGATTGGTGGAATCGACTTTAGAGCTGCCTATGATTGACAACTGACCATTCCGCATGCGTTTTTCAGGCGTCTGTGGGCTCAAAATGTCGTCTGGTTCCTTCTCTCGAGCCTCGCTTGGCTCGCTCGGTGGCCCTTGGGAAGCAGCCCGTTTACCACTTAGCTCAGACTTCTCAAGAACAACGTCAACAAAGGCTTCGAGGCCCTCTTTCCGTTTGCCGTTATCTGTAATCGCTTCTTGCTGTTTTATCCATGTTGGGAAAGCGTCATAGTCTTCTTTTCGTCTTCGAAATGCATCCCTAAGTTCTCGGATCTCTTCTTCCTCCGTTCTTTGCCTAGAAGAAGGTATTGACTTTCGTGAGTACTCGGGGGGCGTCAACCGCTCTTCTGAACTAATTGTGCTTTGATGGGCACTTGGCTCGACACGAGCTTCATCTTCAACTTTCTTCAGTACTGCCTCCTTCATATCTCGCCTCTTTTCTTCGTCCGTCTTAGCAGAGGTTTTTGACTTTCGCGAAGGACCAGCATGCTTCTTCTTTGTATCATCGTGAGCGGCGCCTATTTGAGCGGGCATATGTTCAACATGTCCCTCAGTTTGCGTTGCCAAATGTAGATTTTGATAAAGTGGATATAGTTGAAAATTCCGATAAGGTGCCACAGAGTATGGACGTCCGTAAGCCCCATCGTAGGCAGGGAAGGTTGACTCCGGCATATAGCCACCCTCAATGGGATAGCTTTGACTGAAGGACCCAGGCTTGACCGTAGCTGACGAATTTGCCGAGGTAGCTGTGGGAGTAACCGAATATGCAGAATATGGTGCAAATGTTGGATACTGGTATGCTGGATACCCTGAATAATAGCCGTATGCTGAAGGTGAATAATACTGCGAAGCATAACCCTCGGAGTAACTTAGGGGATTATACTGTATGGGACCGAACAGGCGAGGATCTGGTCCGCTTATTGGGTCGCTCATGTTCTGCAAACGCGAGGCGGATTCCCTAAACAACTCGCTCGTATGGCTTTGCGGCGTGCCCTGGTCACTGGGGCTATGCCTATAGAAAATACAACTGCGAGACCTATCCGGGCTGTCATCGAACTCCTCCTCTTCCTCCGAAATATCCTGGCTTCCATTTTGCGCCATATGCGAACAAGACACTGGCTGTGATCTCCACGATCTTGCATCTGGACTTGAATCAAGGAGAGAGGGAATCGGTTGAGTGGGCATCGTAGGATCAAATCTTGCAACAGGGGCAGCCGAAGCAGACCTGCGAGAGAAGTGGTGGGCCTTGATGGGATGCCTTGTTATCATGGTGAGAGCGTTTGGCTGGGGTGCTGATGCAAACGAATAGATAGAACGACGACGAATCTATATATGCCCGATACTAGTTGTAGGAGGGTGGTTATATGATCGCAGGGAAGGAGAGGGGCACTGGAGTCTGGGGAAACGGTGAATAGAAGCTGGCTGGGGAAGAACAACACAGTTAGTGAAGGTTATGCCTCCTGGTTAGGAGAACACTTACATATGGGAGAGCTTCATATGTAGCTTAGGATCGTAGCAGCAGAATAAGTTGAATTGAGTGGGAGTAGGAGTACGAAAGAAGAGGGTCTTCTGGGGAAACAATGCACTTACTCAAAAAGGAAAGAATAAAGAAGGCCGCTGCACGCAACAACCCGATGGCATTGAATTTATGATAAAGGAGGATTTATTTAGCAAGAACATTGTATACTGGAACTGTGACTGACTCTCTTACTGTTAGTTATACCATAGGAATGCCCGAGATAGAGTAATTAGGCCTTCTTCACGCCCTATTTTTGGACTATAGTTCGGCCATTCCTAATGATATTGCATCTGCAATTGCCATCTCAAGCAGCGATAATTGCAATCGCCTTCCATATTCTGCAGCCATGGCGAGGGAGGAGTGGAATATGTCTTCTGGCGACGCTTCGATTTCTTAGGATGTTAGTACACTTCGACACCTTCCCTTACGTGTAAGTCACTGACGCTATGCTCGTCGAGGATGTAAATAGTGACAACTATTTATTTGGGGACCAGGGCTCTACAGCTCTGGTAAGTGAGACCCAGCATCTTCGTTTTCCTGTTGCTAACAAGTTACAGGAACGCCAATGGATTTCAATGCACAAGAAGGATAACACGTTACAAAATCTTTGACAAAAACCTTGCTATCGCGTTTTCTTGTCGCTATAAGGATGGAAAGCTCGAGTGATGTCAACGCCGCATGAGGTTTTGAGAGTTTAGAAATAAAGTGCTTGTGCCTGATGTTGAAGATGCCCTTGTCCACCTACACCTCTGGTTCTATGCTTTCTTCAGCAAGTCGAGATCACTGGTTATACACTGCAAGCATTTTAGATGTCCATAATCTGTGAGAAATTCGTAGAAAATGACAATTATGTTCCTATAAAAGGACTCAATCTGCTATAATACACGAAACAAAAGAAAGCCCAATATTATCAAGTCAGAATCAAAGTCAATAACGCATTAGTCGTAACATGTTGTCGTTGCTCCTTTAAAACGGCAATTAGCGCTGAGTTCCAAGAGTAGCGCGGTTGTCCAAGTCCGAGTCAACTCGGGGATCCAACTTGTTGGTCAAGTTAGAGTTGTGAGGTCCTGCGGTCGAGCTCGGATTGTTGTAGCTGCTACCACCCTGAGCACCACCGCCGAAGGCCTGGTGACGAGCACGGTTGTCTTTGTCGGAGTCCACTCTGTAAAATTTGTTAGATAAATGATCCTGTAAGCTCCTCTCTTGAACTTGTATGAAAATACGTATTTACCTCGGGTCTAACTTGTTCGCCAAGTTCGAGCTGTGACGACCAGTGTCAGAACCACCTCCATGGCCTATGCCACCAGTTCCTGCGCCGGTGCTGTCAGTCTGGCTGCCATAGCCTCCGGTCTCAGATCCATATTTGCCGGCTCCGGAGTGATAGTTGGACTTGCTGCCATAACTGTCGGCACCCGAGCCAAATCCACCTGTCTTGGAAGAGGCATAGTTGTCCGATCCGGAGCCGTAGTTTCCAGACTGGCGGCCACCAGAGCCGCCAGTGTTTGAAGATCCATATTTGTCTGATCCGGAGCCGTAGTTTCCAGGCTGCTGGTTACCGTAGCCGCCAGTGTTCGAAGATCCGTAGTTGTCGGTTGCTGCTCCGAAGTTGCCAGTCTGATGGGAACCGTAGTTCCCGGTCTTGGGGGAGGCGATGTTGTCATGTCCGCCGTAGCTTCCAGACTGTTTGTTACCACTACCATAGCCGCCAGTGTTTGAAGATCCGTAGTTGCCAGCACCCGAGCCAGCGGTACCCGAGCCAGCAGCGCCCGAGCCATAGTTACCACGAGGGGAACCATAGTCACTGGCACCGGTGCTGTAGCTGCCAGTATCCTTTCCGTAGCTGCCAGTGTCCTTTCCGTAGCTGCCAGT